CCAGCCCAGGGGCTGCTGTGGGCTGGCCACGTGGTCGCGCCTGCCTAGGTGCCCAGGCGCCGGCTCCCGGGAGGAAAGCAGGTTTCAGCAGCAGCAGCCCCATCGCACTGTTGGGCCACCAGGTACCACTCTTACAGGTTCTGGGCGTGGCGGGAACCCTCCAGAAAGCCTGGTTCCCGGGTGCCAGCCAAGGCCGCCCTTGCGATCAGGCCTTTCTGAGGACGGCAGCCTCAGGCCTTCCCTGTGGGCTCTGGTCTGCACCAGCCCCGGAGTGGACAGCCTCTGGCCGCGGGGTGAGGAGTGACCGCGGAAGTGGCAGGCCTCCCACGGCGGGAAGGACGGCTCCAGAGTCAGCCGAGAACCTTCCCGCCCTGAGAACGTCAGTGCTCACAGGCTGACTCAGGCAGTTTACTTAGCCCGCTGTCATCTGGGTCTTTGCGTATTTGCTGGATGTCTGTGTGTTGTACTTAGGCGTTAGGAGGACCGCTTCCCTAACTCGAGGACGGTTGGCTCTGCCCACCTGCTGGCCTCGGGCCCGGGCCCCCCGCGCTGTGTGCGCAGCAGCTGTGCTGAGGGAAAGCGGGGATTGGAGGATTGCTTCTCTTCCCCCTTCCTCGGCGGCTGTGGCCTGGCTGACGTGAACCCCGTGCTCCAGCACGGTGGCAGGACTCGGGCTGTGAGCTGGAGTGAGCACAGAGGCAGAGGAAACGCAGGGGGAGTTAGGACAGCAGAGGGGACTGCGGGCAAGGGAGGTTTCCAGGGGCCGCCGTGGCAGAAGTCCCCGAAGGAGAGGAAGCTGTGCTGGGACAGAGAAGTGGGACAGAGACAGCGGGAGTGGGGTTCCAGAAGGAGAGCAGGGCCGCGGAGGAAGAGTGGTCTTCGGGACACCCCTGCCTTCACCTCCCGGGGAGGGAGAGTGGCCCGGGACCACGTCCTGCCTGGAGGCTGGGCACCGGGAGGGCCCGGCGTGCGCGCGCGGGCGAGCGGGTCAGCCGGGGCCTGCGCCCTCCGCTCCGCAGCACGGTCACGGGCCCAGACGCGTCAGCTGGAGGCCTTGACCGCGACCAGGGTCGGAGAAGCACCGAAGACTGTTCCATTAGGACACCGCAGCGCCAGCAGCCAGCTGGGCCAGAGGAGTTAGGGGCCGGGGCGCCGTGGCCACCACGGCGCTGTCCTCACCCGGTGTGGGTGCTCCTTCCCTGGGTGGCGCTGTGTTTTGTGGTTTTAAGTTTTTAAAGTCAGAGTTCTGTGTGAGCGTGGCTTAGAATGACAGCTAGACACACCGAATTTGTTAAGCCCCCAGCCTGCCTGTCCACGTTCTCAAGAGACACCAGTTTTGATTGCACCATTGCATATTGTTAGATAATAGATGTGTATCTCTACTTCTTGTTTTTCAGTTTCAGACATATTTTTCCATTTCTGCCTTTGGATGGTGAGGCTTGAGCTGTCTTTCTGCCCTGCACCCTCCTTTGGGCTGCTGCCCGCCCCCCCCAGTGAAAAAAATCAATCCTCTCAGTGTAGTTGCGATGACCCTTAGGTCACTATTCAGAGTTGACATCATTATGACTGTCAGAGCCAAACTGTAGAGTAAATTGCAGTTATTTTTCCTTATCTGTGTGTTTTCTAATGGTTCTCCTGATTAATAGCTATATCCTTACTTAATTCAGTGAATTAGTCTTGAAAATGTTAATACATCAGAGATGAACTTAAACATGGCTCCTTCTGTTTAATCCTGATAGCAAGCCAGATACATAACCTGCCCCACCCCCAAACACATACACAAAGTGTTTCAGTCTCCTTGTCTGTAAAATTGGAAATAGTACTGACGCAGGGAAAGTTAAGTTGGTTTGCCCAATGCACCCTTCTAGAAAGTGGCGGAAGAGGAATTTAAACCCAGCTGTGTCTCTCCAGAGAGCCTGAGGTTTCTGGACTGTGTCTGGCACAGTTCTGGACATTACAGAATGGCACTTGGAAGCAAGGCTGGGAAGATGAGATTGACTTGCAAAGAACTTGAAAGAGAATTGGGGGTGGGTGGGAAGAGGTTATTTAAAAAATAATCCATCTCAGTGCGTGATGATGCCACGTTCCCTTGCAGCTCTCTGTCAGTTAGACAGCTCATCTTGATGCCTTCGTCCCACCGGGTCTCCTGTGGTTTCATCCTCAGGGGAAAACCCCCTCTGAGCCCTCTGGCCTGCCCCAGCCGGCGCGAAGCTCCCTGCTGGGCTCTCCAGGCCTGTGTTCCCTGCCTGCCTCGTCCTGTCTGTAATTTCATGGTTAGGGTGGGCTCTCTTCACGACCTTGGCTACCTCCCTGAGCAGGGGTGTCTGGGGAGTGAGTTTGAGGAGACTGCAGGTGTTAGAATGTCTGTTTTCCATCGTGATTGATAGCTTGCGCGGAATTATACCTTGGAATTCGTTTTCCCCCAACATGCTAAAGGCTTCCTTTCTCAGGTCTCTGGATGGTTGTCAGAGTCGGAAGATACTCTGAGTCCAGGCTCTTTGTGTGTGACTTGTGCCACTTTGGTTTTCCCTCTCTCGTGACTAAAGGATCCTTATTTTGCCTCAGGCTCTGAAATTCTGTGCTTCTGTTTCCTGCTTTGGATCCAGTTTGGATTCATGTGCTAGGCCCTTTTAGTTTGGCAACTCTGGCTGCAGTTCTGGGTTTTTCTTCTTGAATTTCAGCGTTTAATGTTCTCCCTATCTTTTCCATTCTTTCCTGAGACTCTTTATCAGGCAGGTGAGACCTCTTGCACTGAAACACTGATTGCTTTTACTTTTCTGAATTCTTTCCCATGTCTCTTCTTTTTGGGGGGGAGAGGTTTGGAGGACATTTTTTTTCAGCTTTACCACCATATCTTTTGAGTCTTTTACTTTGCTTTCCTGTTTTTAATTTAGCTGTAACAGTTTTGTTGAAGTATAATTCATATACCCTGAGGTTCATCCTTTTAATATGTACAGTTAGGTGGTTTTTAGTATATTCACAGTTACGGAAACCCGGTTACCATTTGTTAAACACGTTTTTCCTGCACCTGTGCCCTCTCCAAGAGCCCATTAAGCATTAGCAGTCATCCCGCTTCCCAAGCCCCTGGTGATCTCTAGTCTACTTTCTGTCTTTCTGGCTTTGCCTATTATGGACAGTTCACATGAATGAAGCACATAGCGTTAGCCTTTTGTAACTGGCTTTTTTCATTTAGCAGGTTTTCAGTGTTCATCCATGCTGTAGCGTGTGCCATTCATTGCTGCTCATTGTCAGATACTCACGTTGTATGGCTGTGCCACATTTTATTTTTTCCTTCATCAGATGATGATTCATCCATTTATCAATTGATGTTTAGTTTATCTCTACGTTTTGGCTAGTGTGAATAAATGCTGCGTTAAATGCCAACTTGTTTCAGTCATGTCCGACTCTTTTGTGACTCTATGGACTGTAACCTGCCAGGCTTCTCTGTCCATGGGATTCTCCAGGCAAGCATACTGGAGGGGGTTGCCATGTCCTCTTCCAGGATACGTTCTCTATCCAGGGATCAAACCATCAAACCCGCATCTCCTGCATTAGTAGGCAAGTTCTTTACACCTAGCGCCACCTGGGAAGCACTTTAAGTAAGAGTGTACAAATTGGCATGAACATATGTTTTCACTTCTGGGTGTATACCTTGGAGTGGAATTGCTGAATCATATAGTTACTGTTGAGCATTTTGAGGAGCTGTGAGATTACTTTCCACGGCAGCTGTACATTTCCTGTCCCACTGGCAGTGTTAGGAGAGTTCCCAGCTTCTCTGCATGCTCACCAGTGCTTGTTATCATCTGTCATTTTGATTTTAGCTGTCCTAGTGGGTGCCTGTTTTTAACTGTTAAGAGCTTTTAAAATTTTTTCTAAGAATGGCCAGAAGAAATAAGGGTAGTTTCTCAATTTCACTCAGAAATATAAATGAAAAACACGGCTCTGAGAAGATCGAGCTTCCAGCTATCACTAATGCAGGGAGCCTGTTTGGATTTGAAGATAGATGTGTCTCCCAGTAAACTGGGCAAGAAAATATATTGCCCAGTGTATTATTAACAATATGGTAAAGACTGAAAAGGACCCAACCTGGTCTTCATTGGAGAATTGGTGAATTGAATACATCCAAACATGTTTTAAATATACATTGACAGTTCTGAAAGGATATATACAAAAAGTAAGAGTGACTTTTGACAGGTGGTGTGATTATAAGATGATACACACTTTTTGTTTTAATGTGTAGATTTCTTATTTCAATAAATGTTACATGTATGACTGCAAAGAAAATGCACATGTTAGTATGAAGGGAAATTGTTTTGTATTTCTCAAAATAAGATTAGATAGAAAAAGACATTTTGTGGATAACTAATGAAAAATAAGTTCTTATTACTGAAATGTTTATCAATGGAAAAAAGAGACATTAAAGGAAAAAGTCACTTAAAACAAATCTGTTCAGTTTTAGGTATTAGGAGCATTTTGAACAGTCAGGTTTTTCCATCAAATTGATAGCAATAATTTAGAGCCAAATTTGTAGTCCCTGAAGCATGAAATAGATCCTTGTAAAAAGAAACTTCACTGACTTTTGGCCCTATTTTAATATTCCTATTTGTCTCTGCCCTGTTATTTTTCATTGTTTGGTGTTTGTAAGAATTTCCGTGCATTTTTGGGTTAAGTGCTTTTGGAAATAACGCAGCGTGAAGTGTAGACGGCGGCTAACGGTGGTGCGCGAACTAAAGCAGTGGGCGCTTGCTGAGCTCTCACTGAGAAAGCGCGCACAGGCTGTGCGCCTCGCTGCCACGGTGCTGCCGCCAGGCACAGAAGGCACCTCTGCGCAGCGCAGCGGGCCAGGGTCACACGCGGTGCCCCTGGGGCTTATGTGCAACGCAGACGCATTTCTGTGTGTGTATAATGTGGTGAGCCATCTGTCTATATTTTATCATAAATGTTATAGAAAAGCTTATATTATAAAAACAAATAGCTAACTGCAGCTTTTTTTCTTCCAGAATTTGAATGAATACGTTGACGCATTAATTACCTTGAAGCAAAAAATTATTAACACAGAGTGAGTATGTTTTCATGCGTTTGGCCGAACTCCACTCACCTGATGTACATGCTGGAGCAGGTGGTGGTGGTAGCGCCCTGGGCTGAGGGTAGACCTGGGGTTGCTCGCCCGGGGCCTGCGTGCTGCTGGGGGTGGGCAGTGAGCTCCTCGGGGCCTGGCCTGGCCTCTGGGGGGGGCCTCTGGTCTTACAGGTGTGCATGCTTCTCTGGTGTGTGGCCATAGTGTGTGGCTTGCAGGGTCTTAGCTCCCTGGACCACCGGGGAACTCCCAGTGCTCTCAGACCTTTCCAGCTAAGCTCAGGGGCTAGCTAGGACATCATTTCTGCTTGGCTGGAAATGTTCAAAATTCTAAGAGCTTTAAGAATTTTTTAAAGCCTCCATAGCTTTAGGACTGGATAGATTTCCTTGTGGTAGTTCATGGTCACAGTGTGAGATTGTTTTTTTAATCCTTTAAAAATCACAGGAATTTTTGGGTGAAGATAGTATTTAGATCAAAGGAATTTTAAATTAAAAACTCAAATGTGTGCAGTGCTTTTAAGGAATTTAAGGTGCTGTATCTGCATATGCACAGGTATAATAGATTAAACATAAATTTGTTGTGGGAAACCTAGGAAGGAGAGTTCCTTGTACATTTTGAAATATGCTTGAAGCATAGTATGTTTTCCAGATTGAAAAGTAACACAACTCTTTTCTTTGTTGCAGTAATTTGTTAACAGAATATCAGAAGAAATGTGATGATATCCTTTTACTGGCTTTTTCCTTTGAATTTTTAAGAATGTAAACAAATGTGAGAATTTTCATGATTATCTTTTGGGAAGTGGTATTTACAGATTCAAAGCAGGAAGTGCCTCTAATAAGCACAGTGAGCAGCTGTCTTCTCCTCTAGACACGTGCTAAATCAAGGCTGCTCGTCTTCTTGTTATAGAATGTTTTGTTTTTGTCATTAATTCTGATTCTCTGAGGTTTTGTAAGCTTTATAAAGAGTCGGTCTTTCTCATTTACACTGAGGACAGCCCCTGTGTTCTTCAGTTTAGGAGTAATGTGAAACTGAGATGATGCTGTGCGAAGACTTGGGAGTTTCTGTAGGAAGTATACTATAGGAGTATCAGAATGTTGGAAGAGTAACTTTTGTTCCTTAGCTTTGTGATTTGTAGAGAGTAATAAATATCTGCCGAGTCATAGTGGACTTCTGTATCCACTGGACAGTTCCTGGGCTCTGAGTCCCCACTTGTTCAGGAGCCATCTGGAGCAAATCCGCCTCTGTATTTTCTTGAAAGGGGGGAAACTGTGTGCCCAGGTGTTCTGCCACATCGTGTGCTAATACTTAAATCTCTCCTATGACAATAAACATACATATTGTTAGGGATTTACTGACCTGCAGCTCCAGCTTCAGTGTTGGGGCAAGTGCTGTGATTTAGGTTTTGCACTAACCTGAGACTGGTTTCAGTTTTGTTTCTGGCATTCCTAAACTTACATGTGATCATCAGTTACTGGTTTGTGTTGGCACCATCATACCTGATTTGTATCATTGGAGTAATAAAATCAAGGCGTAGCATTTCAATCTCTTTAGTATCTGAATTTTTACATTTAAAACAACAGGCCTCTGAAAATCTCCTCTTGTGTTTTATTTATTGAAACTGTCCGTCTGTTTAACTATAAATCTATGTTACTTAAAGAGTAATATCTTTGGTTTTGAAAGCTGTGTGGAAACCATGAACACCTTTAATTAGCAAAATAGGGAAATCGGCAGTTAATTCCAGTCTGAGGCAGATATGTGCTCTTTGTATCCTTTCTGGAAGCAGTGGCATCAGCTTTTTGAGGCAATACCAAATGTCATCCAGCAGGGAAATTATTGAGCTAGTTTCCTAAACGTTATGAAATTTATTAGAGTAGGTTATTAAAAATGGATAAAACTTATTCTTGACTTCCCCCCTATAATGGGGTGATCTGCTTCAGCCTCAAGTACAGGTAAATAGAGATTAAAAAAAAACAAACACACCTGACTTTTGCTCACAGTGTGTATGCATTGTGCCTCAAGCATGCAGTTGTTCACTCTGCGCCTGAGGTGCCAGTGCTGTGGGTTTAGTACGGCGCCTTACGCCACTCGCCTCTGTGCTCTTTTTTGTGTGTGTAATTATTTTTTATTGAAGGATAATTGCTTTACAGAATTTTGCTATTTTCTGTCATGCCTTTAACGTGAATCAGGCATAGGTATACATATATCCCTGCCCTTTAGAAACTCCCTCCCATCTCCCTTCCCACCCCACCCCTCTAGGTTGATACAGAGTCCCCTGTTTGAGTTTCCTGAGCCACACAGCAGATTCCCATTGGCTGTCTGTTTTACGTATGGTAATGTAAGTTTCCGTGTTCCTCTTTCCACACATCTCACCCTCTCCTCCCTTTCCCCATGTCCATAAGTATTCTCTATGTCTGATTCTCCATTGTTGCCCTGTAAATAACAATTCTTCAGTACTGTTTTTCTAGATTCCGTATATATGTTTTAGAATACAGTATTTATCTTTCTCTTTCTGACTCTACTTCACGCTGTACAATAGGTTCTAGGTTTATCCACCTCATTAGAACTCAGATGTGTTCCTTTTTATGGCTGAGTAATATTCCATTGTGTGTGTGTTCCACAACTTCTTTATCCATTCATCTGTCGACGGACATCTAAGTTGCTTCTATGTTCTAGCTATTGTAAATAGTGCTGCAATGAACAATGGGATACATGTGTCTCTTTCAGTTTTGGTTTCCTCAGGGTATATGCCTAGGAGTGGGATTGCTGGGTCATATCACCATATGACCTAGTTTTTATTCCTAGTTTTTTAAGGAATCTCCATACCATCTTCCATAGTGGCTGTATCAATTTACATTCCCACCAATAGTGCAAGAGTGTTCCCTCTTCTCCATATCCTCTCCAGCATTTATCGTTTGTAGACTTTTTGATGATGGCCAGTCTGAGCAGTATGAGGTGATATCTCATTGTAGTTTTGACTTGCATTTCTCTGATAATGAGCGATGTTGAGCATCTTTTCATGTGTTTGTTAGCCATCTGTATGTCTTCTTTGGAGAAACGTCTGTTTAGGTCTTTCTTCCACGTTTTGATTGGCTTGTTTGTTTTTCTGGTATTGAGTTGTATGAGCTGCTTGTATATTTGCAGATTAGTTCTCTGTCAGTTGTTTGATTTGCTGTTATTTCCTCCCATTCTGAGGGTCGTCTTTTCACCTTGCTTAGTTTCCTTTCTGTTCTCTTTTGTGTCGTTTGACCGTCTTCTTGTTTATTAGTTTCTCTTTCTATAGGACAGAGGGTATATTTTATTTCATTGGAAGTTTTTGTGAATATTTCTTTCTTGCAAAGACTGCAGTAATTTAGGATGAATAAAATACACTCGGTTAGAAGTTTATGTTCTAATAGAGGAGGATAAAGACATGTTATGACCTATAGGTATTTCTATATTGTGATATGAGAGTAGGGTTTTACAGGAGATGAAACTTGAAGATGAAACTGCTGTCTTTGGTAATATTTTACTGGCAGCGTGATGGGAAATGAAGTTATCAAATTGTACAGATTGTAAAAGTGAAAGGTTTTTTAGATTTTATGTTCTCCCGGTATTTCTTTTCTCAGATCCCCCACATTGTAGGCTAATTCTTTACCATCTGAGCCAGCTGTGTTCATTAAACATAGATACATATATGTATACGATTTTAGTAAGTATGTGACTCTTGTTTGCTGGAACTGTGCTCTGGACTCTGAGAAAGGAAAGGCAGGACGTGTGGGCATTCAGAGTCATTTTCATTAGTTGTTTATTCCTTTGTCTTTGCTTTTGTCTGGAATTTCATATTAATCATACAATTAATCAAGAATCTTTTAATTTAGACAAGTATATATTTTGACTTACGGTAATGTTGTAAATTAGGAGTAGCTCAGTAAAAAGCTTTTTATCGTATGTTATAGGTTGAACTTTGGATGTTGTATTCTAGGAATTATGATCTTACCTGTATGTGTATTGAACACAGATTATTTCAGTTTTAAAGGGAGTTTTATCTTCAGACCAGTACCTGTAGATAAAGTTTTCACAGTTTTCTTTAACAAGTTTTACAGCTGCAGTTTGCAAGAAGGTAAGCTACCTATTTTCATCGTCGATTCGGGGTAGACATTTACTGGACTAGATTTCTACACAAATTCAACAAAGTGCCACATAGAATTGATCCATTATGTAGGCTTTTTTGAGTGCTCATAATAAAAGATGTACATTTTCCTTCCTATTGTCTAAATGAATTCTTACTGAGGTCTTAAATTATGGCCTAGGGTTTGGTTTTTCAGTTACTTTTACTGACCGTGTGGCTTGAGATGAAGCTTATTGCTATCAGTTATTGTCTCTGTGAATTGGACAATTTAATGTGGTTGTTTACTGTGTATATTTTAAATAATTTAAAATAACCTTACTTAGAATTTAGTAGCGTTGTATGCAACACTACTGATGACACTTACCAATTAGAAGAAGGCAAAGTGTGGTTATAAAATGAATCACAAAGCTGCTTGTCATTTAATTTAAATCAGTGGTGATAAGTTTATTATTGGAAGAGCCACATCACTTGACAGACAGTCCCAGAATACTTGTGTTCTGCAGGGGATTGAGAGCTTATGGTGTTTGCTTCTCAGATGGCTTTTGGTATACTTTTATTAGAAATAGAGTCATGTCAAAGAAATAAAAAGTGATATGTGAGTAATTTTCGTATTTAAAAATACCAAAATAAATAGAATGCATTTAAAAAGAGATTCTTACTTTCTTTTTTTGTTTTTAGAAAAAAAAATTGAAACTCGCCAGTAGATATATTTAATAATTCACCATAGGTACTTCTCATAATAACTTTAATAATGTATTGTCCATTTTTAGAGAGAATAGTACTCTGCATCACCAAGTGGAGCAGATGCTTCAAAAAATTTCTCCTCTGCAGAAGTGTCAGGAAGAATTGGGAGTTTTAAAAGCTGAATTAGAAGAGAAAAAGGTACCTAAACTAATTTTCCTACAAAGGTTTATCTTGAATAAAGTAAGATCTTCTTATTTACTATCATTGGGATAAGGGGACGTTATATATCTTAACAAAGGAGAGATAAATGATAGTCAGGCCTCTTAAGTGTACTGCTGACCTTAGAGAACATTGAACTGGTTGACTGATGCCTCAGTCCTTAACAGTAATTATTAGTGATTAATGGAATGCTGTATTAGTTGCTTGTGCTTTTTGAGAGATTTAGTAGAAGAACCTTTTAGCTGTGAATTTGTATGACTTTGTGCCCTGCATTGCTTGCTTTTTCTGTTTTTCTTTCTGTCATTGTGGTGGCTCAGACAGTAAACAATCTACCTGCAATGTGGAAGACGTGGGTTTGATCCCTGGCTTGGTAAGATGCCCTGGAGGAGGGCATGGCAATCCACTCCAGTATTCTTGCCTGGAGAATCCTCATGGAGAGAGGAGCCTGGCGGGCTACAGTCCATGGAGTCGCAAAGAGTAGGATACAACTGAGCGACTAAGCACAGCATATAGGTGTAAAACAACATGCCAAAGTTCAGACTTAGACTTAGAAAAATAAGGTTCTCCATTAATAAAACAATTTTAAGGGCTGTAAACTTATTTTTTAATATAAAATTCGTGTTACTCTTCCTGGAGCTCTAGAAGACAATTTATGGCTTTTACAGATTAAAAACTCTGAAGCCGATAGTTAGGTGTTTAGCATGAGACAAGTGGTAGCCACGCTGGTTCCTGTCTCCTTGACCTGATAGCACTTGGCCTCTCGGTCTTCATGTTGTTCCGTAACCTCTTTGAGGTTTTCCTACTTCAACAGTGATTGATTTTCCTGTTTGTTTAGAAAGTATTATATATTTATCTGTGTGGTGAAAGTTAAACAATCGTGCTGAATTTTGTCTGTCTCTGATGACAAAGTAATGTCATCAGCCATTCCTGAGAGGAAACATTAATACTGGAGTCAGAGTTGAATAATAAACCCTCAACAGTCAATCCTTTACTTTGGCTTTCAAAGAGTTCCTCAGCTTCTGAATCCTCAGGCCCCTTATCTGTGAACAGGGGTCATAAAGACTGTCTCTCTGAGCTCTGGCAGTTGAGGAACTGTGTGTACAGGTGAACTGTGTAATCAGGCTCAGTATGTTTCTTTCCCATTCCATGATGCCTGTAGGTATGCCTGTTGATTGGTGTGAACATATTCCCCCCAGTTATCAGTAAGTGTAATGATGGATATTTTTGCACAGTGGTAATAATTGTTGTTGTTTAGTTGCTCAGTTGTATCTGACTCTTTGCAACCCCATAGACTGTTGCCAGGTTCCTCTATCCCTGGGATTTTACAGGCAAAAATACTGGAGTGTGTTGTCATTTCCTACTCCAGGGCATCTTCCTGACCTAGGGATTGAACCTGCATCTCCTGCATTGGCAGGTGGATTCTTTACCACTGAGCCACCTGGGGAAGCCCAGTGGTAATAGTAATTTACATTTATTAAGCTCAAAGATTGCTCTAGGGTTGTTGAATTCTAATTGGTTGAGACAAAAATACTAACTATTCAATGTTATGAAGATTTGGATTTACCTTATAATTAGCATATTTTAAATTTTATAGCTCTGTTTGACTAGACTGTTAATCATGTTACCTCTGTTTAGAGTTTGGTTATATCTGTTAATGTGTTCAATTGAATTGTACTTTGGTTTCCTGCCTAAACATATTTATTCATTTGGCTAATTTCATACTATTAAATGATAATGATTTAGCTTATCAAGGTCAAAATGAGTTATCACTGATGGTCATTGACTTTCACATTGGTGAATGTCAATCAATAGGTAAATTTCAATATATTAAAAAAAATTTCAATATATAAAATTTCTTTTCCAGAGTTCTCTAAAGTTGTATCAGGACACTCATCGGGAATATGCTCGTGTGAAAGAAGAATGCTTAAAAACTGATGCTCAGTACGTATTTAAAAATTACTGTGAAATAAGGTGTTCAGCCTTGAAGTTGTCTAATGTTTATATGAGTAGTGTTGTCTTCTCTCTGTCTTTGGGTTTATTGGCCATAATTAATTAATTAGTCTCTCAACCTTGGTTTCCGCATGTCTGGAAATTCTATGTTGAAGGATTAATAGGACAAAATACCCCATCGTATGTTAAGTGCTTGCACAAAGAAGGAACTCCATAACAGTTTTTATGTCTGTCTGTATGTGTGTGTCTGTGTTACGTTTTCACAGAGAAAACATAATTGTCGTCTCCTTTTTTTGTACAAGTCCTTTAACATGTATTATGTGGAATGGGTGTCTTGTTCCATTAAGGCAGAGGGCTCTTCCAAAATGTCAGTTAACTGTTTTGAAGTCTAATACTGTGTTCACATCATTTACAAAACTTGTGAACTACACATAAAGTTATTTCACAGTAACTCAAGAGACTTTCTCAGAGGGTTTCCTACCTTCTCTGACTCAGAAATCTTTCCTAAAACTGAAAATGTGTAGTTTTCTAGCCAGTGTCTCCTATAAAATGGTGGTATGACTGTCCCTACCAGACATGCTCCTTAAAGTAACCTCACCTGATCAGGATACCACCTGGACACATCAGCTTGGCTTGTGTGTCCACGTTCATCTAAGAGTCCCAGGCGTGGCATTGCCTGAGAAACAGAATTTTAAATCCATTTTCCACAGACCACATGAGAACAGTACACTGTTGTTTCTGTGGCTTGCTCTGCCTTCTGAGCAGTTGGTGTTTTTAGTGGTTGGTGTGTGATGCTTGTCGTGGCTTGTCGTGGCTAACGTTTTGTTACACAAATCTTAGTACTTAAAAAGAAGTATCACAAATTGTGAAGTTGTAACATACTTTTTCCGTTATAACTTTCCTACCCATGTTAATGTGTACAATTGTGTTACCAGGAAGAAGAAACTAGAAGCCAAAGTGAAGAAGCTGGAAGGTAATTGGCACCCTGTTACCCCACTAATGGAGGTCATCCTCCTCGTAGAGGTGATTGGTGTCTATACAGGGCTGTAGTTCTCGGTCAGGCAGTCCAGTCCTGGTTTTTGACGGCTTATCCCTGGGAGAGCGCGTGAAGGGCACCCTTAGGAAGAATCGTGAGCACCGCGCTCCTCTCAGTTCCTGGAAAGTCGTGGCATGGAACGTACAGGCCCTTGACGTGTTCACCCAGAACATGGCCCACATGTTGTGTGTAAGCAGCAGCAGTCAGTCAAGGACTTAATTTTGAAAGTTGAATCTCATGGGGCCTTCTCATTTTTTTGGTGATGAAATCAGTGGTTAGTGGGGAAGGACACTCCTCTTAGTATTCAGGAAAGAGTATTTGGATGATCATGACTCCCATGGTGGAGAGATCTCTGTGAGATTCCCTGCATCGGAGCCCTGCAGACCCTCGCTGGCCCCGGTCCTCCACGCTCAGCCAGGCGTGGGCCTGGGCTGCCCTCTTCCTGCGGCCTCACCGGCCCTGCATGGCCCCTGCTCTCACAGCACTAGTGCTCTGCCTCAGAGAATGGTTGGTTTTAATTTATTTTTTTATTGAAGTATAGTTGATTTATAGTATTGTGTTAATCTCTGCCATACAGCATGGTGACTCACAAAATATAAACATTCTTTTTAAAAAAAGATCTTTTTTTATCTTCTTTTCCATTACGGTCGCACAGCAGATGGAGTTTAGTCCCCTGTGCGGTGTGGTAGGGCCTTGCTGGTGTCCATTCTGTAATGCGCCATTTGGCATTGCTAACCCCACACTCCCAGCACCTCTCCATCCCCCTTGGCAACCGGGAGTCCGTCAGAGAACAGTTTATTTTCATTTCGAGTGTGAACTGAGAATTTGAATAGACGTTGCTGAATATGTTTCCAGTTATTAGCTTGCCTAAATTGAGCCCAGTTTTTCAGACTTAAGCTCTAAATAGTTTGGTAACAACTTTTCCCCTGATTTGGTTGTTGCAAAAGCATTGTGGCAGTAAGTACAACATCACTGTGTTCCTTCCCAGTATGACCTTCTGTTGCTAGTGTGTGGGGATACGTGTCTTTCTAAGGACGTGTTTTAAAGGGATCCAAAGTGCCTGTGAGAGTGTATGAAGCTATTACAACAAACTTCCTTTGAATCAAAAATATATTTTCCATGTGACAGAAACATGTTTCTAGTAAGTGATAGGACATAGAAATCAGGTGAAAAAATAGACAAGTTTGTTAGAGGAATCAGGAGGGGACTGTCTCTATGGTGTTTATAGGATTTTATTTCTCATAGTAATTGTATGTGCACCTATTCAGATACAGTTAGTACTGGTCAGGTTCTTCATAGTATAGTTGAACCCTTCGGTGCTTCAGAGCCTAAAACTCGAGTTAAGAATTTGCTCTCGGTCCACAGGGGAGCTGCACAAACATGTTAGAAGTACTTCTGTGATAAAGTTATGGCACTTGGGGTGAGTTGACTTGAGGCAGGGTAGCTCCGGGCAGGCAGGCACAGCGGTGTAGTAAACGCCAGGAAGGCTGTCCCTGCCCTGGATGAAGAGCAGGGCCTGAACCGTTGCTCAGCAGAGGCACACTTCCGAGTCTCTGGCGCTGGAGTGTTGCTGGCTGGAACAGTGAGCACACCACAGCCTCTCCTCTGTAGGTCTTGTGTGGTGGCCTTTTGCCTGACTGAAGGGTCTGGGTTCGCTTGTTTGGGGATTGGAAAGGTTTCTTAAGGCCTATGACAGTTCTTCGTTTTTGTAGGTAATAGTTTAATCAAAAGTGTTTCTGCCTTTATTCCTGACTCCGACAGAATACTGAAGGAACGGTAACTTTACAAAATGTGTTTCAAATTTGGGGAAAAAATGAGAAAAGCTCTCAGTAGGTTTTTTGAGTATTTCATCAGTGGCACTTATAAATTTGGTAAATTATTTTTCTCTTTTACTTCACTGTACTCTAAATAAAGAGGCTGCTGTCAAGCAAACTCAGGACTTCAAGCAACTAAGGAATGAAAAGAAAATACTTGAAAAGGAATTTAAGAAGACACAGGTAATAGGTCACAGCAGCGCCGCCTGTGTTCAGCTCTGCTCTCTGGCCTGCTCGTGTCCTCTCTCAGTGTGTGGGTTCCCATCATGCAGAGTCAGAGGCCCCCGGAGACGTGGGGGCCGTGAGGGGCGCCCCTGGGCCGCCTCTGTACGTCCTGTCCTAAACAGCCGCCCTCCTGTATCCACTGTGAACACTGCTTCTGTTCTGTTTTCACAGGAAAGACTTGACGAATTTTCTAAACAGAGAAATGAAAGGGGTGAGTATTCAGTTAATGCTTACTTAAAAATGCTGTTTCGACACACATTATTCTAACTGTTTTCCCCCACATTTTAGAATTGAGACATATTGGAACACAAATTTCAAGTGATTCTTACGGAAGCATCGATAAAAGTGAGTATATTACAAATTTAGTTTTAATCTCTGTGTATTTCTTTTAGTGGTTTGGGAGGTTGCTTGTTACTCTTACCTATGGGGTAAGGGATTCCAGGGCGTGTAAGTGATTTTTGTTAGAAGAAACCACCTCCTGTTTCCTGTTATCATTAGATCTGTAACCTTGCTGTCTGATAAAATAATCCAGTGAATGAAAGAGTCAAAAAGCTGGGAGAGGTATACTTTCCACACTTTGCAATAAATAAGTAGAGTTTCCTTGTTAGGTTACAGTCTATCAAGTTAATGTTTGGTTTCTTAGGTGCCAGTTATATAGATGTGGTTAAAGGCAGGCAGGGAGACCGTGGAGTCCGAGCCCCACAGGGTGTTTTTGGCAGACAGAAGACCTGGGGAAGCCTGGACGTCCCACGGAGGGTGCGGTGGTCCTCCGGGAGCAGGGTGCCCCGTGCCCCACTCGTTGCACGCTGGACCCGCTGCCGCATGGCTGGAGGCGTGATACAAGAAGTGGGGACCCCGGGGATCACATCACCACTTCCACCTGTTGCAGGACCTTTGGCCGCATGCTTCCCTTCTTTGTGCTTTCATTCTCAGTTTAGAAAAAGTTACGAATTTCTGCTCTGCTATCTCATACTTTTTTTGGTAGAGATAAGTTCAAAATGGTAAGTAAATAATGGTATTTTCATGTCACCCATGTTTTTTCCAAATGGAAAGCATTAAAAACACATTGTTTTGTTCAGGTATGTAGTATCTCTTCAGAAGTCTCCTTTACCTTTATTCCTTCCTTTAATTTTTTATTTTTTTAGTCCACAGTTCAAGGCTTCAGGCTAGACTAGCAGTTGACATGTTTCAGCTGCCTGGGGCCTGATTCCCTGTTTGTCACTGTCACTGATATATGATTCCATGTATCTTTGGCTCTTCCTGCTCCGAGGTGTGGAGACCTTTGCGTACTGGTGCTGCTGAGAGAAAGCGAGGGCTGGGCAGCGCTTGGCTTTACCAGCTGACAGCCAGCTCTTGAGTGTGGTTGTCTCAGTTTAAGGAGTCAGCTGTTATCAGGCTTTACTGTTTAAAATAGAACCCTCACCCCCTTCCATAGTTGCTTGCTAGTCTCACATTCTGATTTTTCGTCAAAGAGCTACTTACTAGTTTTACTAGAACTAGTAAAATCTTTTTTAAAAAAAATTTATCCTCTCTGTGAGGGAAACGATATTGTTTATTTTACTTTTTCCAAATAAATGAAGTCTTTAGGAATCTGCTGATTATTTCGTTGTGGAGCTTGATGGGTTTAATTCCCAGTGCTTAAGTATGTCTTTAACACTTCCCTTTGTTAATACTGGATTTCTGAAGGACATTATGAGTTAGAAAGAACATTGGGCCGGCTTCACTTTTGAAAAGACTGCCTGAGTCCTGTGTTGGCCTGTCTTTCTTTCACATTCCTTATCTAAAGATGGCAGAAGATTAAAAAAAAAAAAAGAATAGTTAAAAAGTGCTAACAATTATTGAGGAAGGTATAAAGCAGATGGTGGCAATTGGTGATGAAATCCCAAGTCACAGAGGAAGTAGCAGCCCTCCAAAAGCAGGCTTTGGCTGCAGGAGCCTGGCGTCCCCAGAGCGGGTGGTGTGGGGACGAGGCGGCGCAGCGTGACTGACGGATGGGAGGCCTGCCGCCGTCCGGCTGCACGCGGTCACGGACTGTGACCCAGATTGGCTGCCGGCCGTGGCCGAGTTTAGTCTTCTGGTGAGTTAGGAAAGGCAGGACCCGGGACGGCTGTGGCTGTCAGAACACGGGGTTAATGGTGCCGCTTGGAAGGATAGCTCCCCCTCTTTGCAGAAAGTGAGGTATGTGTGCACCGTGTGGGTCCTCACCATTCCCACTCTGCTTGCCCTCCTGATGAAGGCGTGTGTCCTGTAGGTTCATGACATGAGGACCTGCATTTATTGCCAGAGGAATAGCCCTGTGGATGGAGGCTGCAGAGACGTGCCCTGGCTGTGAGAGGTCCTCCTGTCCTGAGGAGGAGCAGGGGCAGGAGAAAAAGACCCTAGGCACAAGGAGAGCAGTCCCGGAGGGAGCAGTGGTCGGCCGTGAACAGGGAGAGGACGTCTCCAGCTGAAGTCGTGTCCTCAGAGGTCACTGCTGTGACATATGAGGCAGAGTTCTCTGATACTAAAAACACGATCATAGGAGTGAACCCGCTGGAAAGGCTGGGTTTCTGAGTGGGCAAATAGAAGATTGCTTTGATGAGCCAAGGGATTTAATCGTGGATATCTCCGAGTATGTGGTGTAAACAGATAAGGAAATAAAAGGTGTTAGGGGAAATCTGAGACTTTGGAGCGTAGAGCCAGATGTTGTGATAGTCACCTAGGACTTCTCAGAGCAGAGAACAGAGCTACTCTTTCCAGAGAGAGTGTGATCAGGAAATGATAGACGATTTCCCAGATCAGGACCTTGATGTGATAGTTACAGTAGAAAAGCCTACCAACTGTAGAGCATGATTTTTATGTACAGCCTCCATCCCTGACTGGTTCAAAGGAAATACATTTAAAAACAAATGACACAGAAAGATTAAAAAGAGGGGGATGGATGTAGAAATTTCAGTTGAAGCAAATTCTGATTTGAAAGCAGTCATATAACAAAGGGCTTCCCTCGTATTTCAGTTGGTAAAGAATCTGCCTGCAATGCAGGGGCCTGGGTTGGATCCCTGGGTCAGGAAGATCCCCTGGAGAAGGAAATGGCAACCCACTCCAGTATTCTTGCCTGGAGAATCCCATGGACACAGAGCCTGGTGGGCTACAGTCCATGGGGTTGTGAGAGTTGGACACGACTTACGATGAAAAAGAATAATTCACACCTAGGAATGAATTTACTTGGATTAAAAGGAACTATCTAGAATGATCAGCAGTGCAATTCATCAAGAAGATACTGCTCTTTTGATCTTTAGGCATAAAACTGCATTAGGTGAAATGCTTGGATTTTCTAGGGGGAAGAGCCAAATCTGTCTTCATAAGAGACTTCAGTGTGTTTGTTAGAAATAGAGAGTAAAAGCAAACAAAATGGGAGATGGAATGGGAATCATGATTGCAGGATGGATGATTTACATTAACTCTTAAACCACATCCTGGGGATTCTTTAAACTACTTGTCAAAAATACCTAAAAGCTGACTGTTTATTGAATAAAAAGCTACAATCTGAGATTAGGTTATAGATATTTCAAAAGATATTAATAAAAATCTCTCCTTCGCCCTTCCTGAAAAACTGATAACTGAATACACATAATAAACTGCTCTTGGATAACAGAAAAGATAAAAGCTGAAATACTAAACTATTTTGGAAATAAAAATAAGGCAGCATTTATTAAAATCTTTGAGATATTGCCAGTATTCAGTGAGTGATCCGTGGTCTTAAGCGATGTTGTGAGGATATGTGAGGATAGACACAGGGCAGCCTCAGAGGAAGAATCCCTGGCACGCACCCTGGTGTGCTGCGTTGCTTCAGTCTGTCTGCCTCTACGACCCCATGGGCTGTAGCTTGCCAGGCTCCTCTGTCTGTGGGATTCTCCAGGCAAGAGTACTGGAGTGGCTTGCCCTGCCCTTTTCCAGGGGATCTTCACCACACAGGGATCGAACCCACAGCCTTTTTAAGTCTCCTGCATTTGCAGGTAAATTCTTTACTGCTAGCACCACCTGGTAAGTGATGTTAGGACGCAGGAATTACAGAAAATGAAGGAAGAATTCCAGAAAATGAATGACTTAAGAAGGTAGGAAAATACAACAGAAACGCAAGGAAAATAGAAGGAAGGAATTGATGAAGATGGAAACATGCGTGAATGAAACGGGAAACAGAGCGGTTACTTTGGGACCGCTAAAATGAGTGGCTGGGTCTCTGCAATGCTGCTGAAGCTGACCACTCTTTGGCGAAGCTGATCAAGAAAGGAAGGCAGAAAAACCTAGTAGTACCAGGACTGAGAAACCTGTCAATTTGGAGAATTTCTGAATTTACAAATTTCAGATTTTGTCATGTTTATAAAATGGAGTGTTTTGTAGGAAAACACACTCAGATTGACATAGACCAGTTGTTGGAATATCCTGAACAGAGAAATAAGCCGTAAGAAAATTAAAAGTTAAAGATCTGATACTATGGAAGATCTAGATGGCTCACAGGTGAGCAGGTCTTCAGTGAAAACCTGATGTCTTTATTATTATTTTTGCTTTAGGGCTTAAAAACTATGGACTGCTTCCTGTCTCATTGTTTTAGACTAGCATAACAGTGTACCAAAACTATATATGTGAAGATAGGCACACATATCTTTAAGACTCAGAGCTCTGTAACTTAGGAATAAAGCTGTGAGAATACTAAAATTTTAAGAACTCACATCTATTAGTAATTTAGAATATGGACAAATTATGACTTAGGATTTATCTCAGGACTACCACAACTGGTTAAGAGGAACATGGTAGGATCATCTCAATTCAGCATCCATTCCTCATTTGAAAAACAAAAGAAAAGGTAATAGGAAAAAAACATTCTGAGCTTGAGGAAGGTGAAACACAGCACAGGCGCTGCCGTCAGAACACGGCCAGCTGCTCTTCATCCTCTCTCTGCGCGCTGGACACCCTGAGCAGACTCACAGCGTAGGAGCTGTCAGTGCTCGTGAGGAAGTCAGGCTCTTCTCATTTTGAATGAGGTGACTTGACTGTGTAGGGAAAGGAAAATAGCAGTGTTGGAGCTTGGGCAGGCACTGGTGGGTATAGTGAGGACGCGCGGTGGGTCGTCACTAGTCTGTCAGAGCAGATAGGATAACAGTCCGTTCTCAGATGGCCGCAGATCGGTCAGACGCGCGGGGAAGTACCTGGAGGCCGTGTGCCTGCCTTTGTGAAGATAGCTCTAAAACGGCTGAACATGCACACAAATGCTGTGTTCCTGGATCCAAACAGTGAAGGCACAGAGATGGGAATTTTCCCCACATGTATTTATAAATGTATACTCTAACACTGGATGGGGAAGGCTTATCAGAAGGAATAGACCCCATAATAATAAATTAACCCTGAGCCAGAGTCATGCCAGCACAGATACTAAAATATAGTCATAAGGATGTGTGCCGTTCATGTGGACACTGACGAGTCAGTGGAGTAGGCAGGTCTAGAAACGCTGTCCTCAGAGGTGCCTGGCGTTTTTGGTAAAGGAGACATTATCAGAGGGTCAGGGGAAGGTGTGTGGTTGAGCCGAATGGCGTTTTCACGAGTTAAGTCCTGGTGCCACAGTGAAGGCTGTTTTCTGCTTTGCTGGTATTGGATAGCTCTCGTGTCAGACTGGAAGTAATGAAGGAGTGCTCAGTTGGAATAGGCACAGCTCTGGTTAATAGCTTCTAAGAATAGATAAGGAACTTTTTTTGTTTTTTTTAAGGTTCCGTGTTTGCTGCTTTGGGTATTTGTAATAAGCAGGGATCCTGGTCAGGTCATTTAAGCAAAGGGGGGGGGGGTCACAGTATTTTGAAGCAGGCTTTTGGGTAGGTTAATCACAATGTAGATAAACTACTTGATCATAGAATTTTGAAACTTAAATATGGATGCACGTCACACAGTGACTGGCTAATTTGGGTCAGGAGAGGTTGGAAATGCCCAAATTTTCCAAGTTCTGTAAGTTTGCCCCATTTGTCCTGGTCCTCTTTCTGTGGACTTCATTTATAGAGTGATGCAGTTTGCCATTAAATAGGGCTGTCCTGTTCCAAAATTTGTGATTCCTTGGAGATATTTTTATTATTGATCTTTTTAGCCTCTCTAGAACTAGATTAAAGATTTCAGTGTTTTCAAGAAATGATTCTGTTTAATAACATCAAGTGAGCTATAACAGAATTTTGACGTGACCTGAAATTGTAAGTATTTAATACTATTTTCAGTTAAATTTTAAGTAGTGTACAGGCTTGTCTTTTTATGTGTATTTGACACAAACTGTTCATGTTTATATTTTGATGAATGCTTTTTGCTTGGAACATTTTGGGGAATTTGTATTTTTAGTGTTAAATTCACTTTAAAACCACAGTGTGATATTCTTAATGTTATATGACTTTCATTTAGTTACAATTGTCCTTTGCCTTTCAGCTTGAACCAGTGATTCTTAACCACTTTAGGAATTCAGACCCTTTGAAAAAAATTTCCAAAAATTCCAAAGCCCTCGCTTTCCTTGCAGATGTGGATGCTGCTTTCTGTGTGTCTAGGCATGTGGGTGACTCTCTCTCCATCTCCATATGTTTATAGCCATGTTTGTCTCCTCTCATTTCTTCTTAAGGCCATTAAAGAATTTCCCAAGACCCGTGAAACCCTAAGTCAATTACCGCCTGGTCGCCTCTGTGGCTTTTCTGACGGCCTCATGGAACTGAGCGGATACTGCTGCTTCTTTGCAGAATCCATGGAGCAGTGATACATACTGGTCATTCTAGCTGGGCTTCTTCCCTGCAGGCCCCAATCACATGTCACTGTCTGTGGAAGATGCAGAGACCAGAGATTTGTTTATCCTGTGCCTGCATTACGGTGGTGACGACCTTTACCAACAAGCACATTGGGTTTTCTGAGTCCCGCACTGTGTGCACCGCATCCTCCAAACAAAACCCAGGCTTGTGTTCAGGCTTCAGTCAACAGGCCTTCGTATCAGTAGCCGGCTGAACTGTGTTCAGTGGTTTACGGAGGGGAAGGTGGTTTAAGTTACCTAGTTTTCTAATTCCCTGATAAATCCCGATTTCCCAGGAGTGTGTTTTGGCCTTGGGTCGAATGAGCTGAATGACATGACTAACACTTGACTCTCTTCCACAGGGAAGGTAAAGCTGCTTCTGAAGGAGCTCTGGCTGTGCATCAACACCACACACAGACTCCCCGGTGAGGGCAGCAGATGCATCCCAGGTGAGGGGGAAGCTTCCAGAGCTTCATTTCATGCATCAGCAGCGGTGTTTACTGTAGATGTTGTACCGCTTTAGTTTTTAATCTGTAGAATCTCGCATCAAAAGAGTGTAATAAACTAAGGTGGGCACTTGTAATCATATGAAGCTCTTTTCCTTCCATTGTGACTTCTGGTCTCACTGAATGCATCTGGCTTTGGATTTTGTAATAGCTGCTTCATCAGGGAACATCCATGGAAACTGGGAAGGACTCGTAGAGGGAGTGTGTGTGGCTGGTTGCAGATGGAGACCGGCTTTCCCCGTTTCCCTGCTCATGTCACCTTCCCTGGGTTCCTTTAATTGGGCTTCCTTGGTGGCTCAGACGGTAAAGAATCTGTCTGCAATGTGCGAGACCTGGGTTCGATCCCTGGGTCAGGAAGATCCCCAGGAGAAGGGATTGGCTACCCGCTCCAGAATTCTTGCCAGGAGAATTCCATGGACAGAGGACCGTGGTGGGCCCCAGTCCCTGGGGTTGCAAAGAGCTGGACATGACTGAGTGATGCTTTCCCTTTTTTTTCTGCCTTTAATTGCCCCTGGTCTGACAGTTACCGATCTTTCCTTGTCTCCTGACCCTTTTGGAGACTACAGATTGTTGGGTAGAAAGCCTGTGGGTTGTGGCATGTTCTCTTGTATTAGAGTGAGGCTGTGTATTCTCCACAAGAGCTTCTAGTGTGTGCTGGGGAGAGAGTGTGTGGTCTGCCTTGTCCTGGGGGCTGTTGACCTTGACCTCTTGTGGCAGTGGTATCAGCCCAGTTCCTCCTGTGAAGTTGCTGTTGCTTCTTCACTGAGTGGTCACCCTGAGGGAGATGCTGCGACATGACGCGCCCACTGTTTCCCTGCAGCCCTGGCCCACTGATGTGAGCTCTGCTGATGCAGCTTGTGGGCTACGATTACTACTTTGTTGAATAGTGGTTTTTGTAATTCCCTCATTTTCCTGAAGGTATTAATTGCAATTTTTCTGTAAGAAAGAACTGTCGTTTTTCTCCACTTACTCATTCATTCACTTATTTCTGTCAATATGGTCTCATAGACACTTGTTTTATCCTGTGTTATAATCCAGTACTTATTATTATTATTATTATTATTATATTATATATTATATAACATTATTATTATAATCCAGTATTATTCCTTTTATTGCTCAGATTGCCCCAGGTGCAGTCACTGGGACTATCTGGGCCTCTTAGGTATGTCCATCTTTACATCTGGTTGTGCAAGCTGTCTCGGGCTCAGCTTTTCTCCCCCTCCCCAGCCCTGTAATCAGCCGCTGCTCCACAGAGCCCTGAGGCTTTCTATGAAAGGTGTGTTTGTAGCTTTCATATATTTTTACAGCTTTCAAATATGACAAGTGGTTGTTTCCAGTTAATTTCCAGGACACAGTGTTTTTCCTACAGTTAGCATTGCTGCGACTTACCAAGATCAAAACCCACAGAGAACTGGCCTTTGATGGTAGCTTCCTGTTGTGTGACAGTGCAGAGCATTTCTGTGACGACTCAGGTTCCTTAGAGTGTTGTACAGATACTTTCATGGGGTGAAGGTGAAAGTCGCTCTGTCATGTCCGACTCTTTGGGAATCCATGAATTCTCCAGGCCAGAACACTGGAGTGGGTAGCCTTTCCCTTCTCCAGGGGATTTTCCCAACCCAGGGATTGAACCCAGGTCTCCTGCATCGTAGGCGGATTCTTCACCAGCTGAGCCACAAGGGAGGGAAGCCCTACGTGGAGTAGGCCTGGTATAAGTTGATTTTAGAAGAAGAAATGTTTCCTGTCGCCTTGTTGCAGAAGGCTGTTTCTCCCCAGGAGAACGAGTGTGTCATTGAGGCCCGTCACCATGGCCACAGACAGAAGCCTTGGCGGGCACGTCCTGCTGCCCGCCTCTCCCCCTGCCAGTCGTCTTTTGTTGAGGGAAGCGTACTTTTGTGGAATGTGTTTTAAGTCTTATAGGATATTCTTTAGGCAGGGATCGTTGGCTTTTAAAAATGTTTCTACTTGGATTTAATACAAGCATTTTGAACTGTTAAAATAGGTGTTTGGTTTTTTTTCTTTTATTGATAACTGTAAATAATTTGATACTCACTTTTTTGTCCCCTGCAGGAACGCCTGCCCAAGAAAACCACAGATCCATCGAGTCCAGGGAAGATGGGGTGCTCCCTGCAGCAGGTGGCAGCCCCGTCCGAACCTCGGCTGTGCAGACGTGCCTGGCAGAACTGTCCATGGAGATCGAGGGTGACTTCTCTGCTTGTGAGGATGTGGGCAGAGCAGCGGGTCGTGACAGCGGCCTCTCTGGGGAGGATCCGGCTCCTGAGGCTGCGGCGCGGAGGGGCGCGGCTCAGGGCCCTGGTTTCGACGAGGACCTCCAGGCTGCAGTCGACTTCTTCAGGCGGCCCCCGCCCCTGCTGTCCCCGGTGCCCTCCCCGCCGCCTGTGTTGTCGCCTCGTCTGGGCGGCTCACCTTCTCTGCTTGCACCTGTGAGTGGGCACTTTGTATGGGCCTCACCAGGTGGCCACCTTGTCCACCCTGACGTGAGCGCGTTCCAGATAGTGTCAGGGCGGAACCCCGGGAGTTCTCGAAGCACGCCAGTGCCCCGGGGTCTGTATCTTACACGTGCGCGCGTGCACACACACGCACATACGCACACACACACATCATGGTCTTAGTTTTGTACTGGGGGTGCATTGTTACTGTTTTCATCTGCAGCATATTGTAAGTCCCCTGTGGAGGACTGTGTCTTAGTTGCTTACTCTTACCTTTAGTTTTGGACACGTAACAGGCATGGAATGAGTGGGTTACACAGGTGTTTTTAGGCCTGAAGTGTTTCGGAGACGCAGAGTCCATGTATGGCATGCACGCCTGTTAACTTAGGTTGATGCGTTCCCCACCTTCCTGCAATGAGTTCATCATCTCTGTGTGCATTTGCAGAGTGGTTTATGTGATTTCTTAGGAAGCTAATCTTTTTTCTCTCTTTCCTTTTTATTGTTTAAGTTGCGAAAGTGATAGGGGTCGCAAAGAGTTGGACATGACTGAGCAACCTTCACTTCACAACACACTTACTAGGAGACTAGGAAAAGACAGAACCAAGTTCCATATAAAGGAAGTTAGTCTTGACAGAGCAGATTTGTATACTTTTTGGCTTAAGGAAGAAAGAGATAAATGGCTCCTTTGAGTCACTTCATTTAGGAACCGTGATGCATGTCTGTTACGTTCTGGACACTGGGTGCTAGACACCAGGAGCCCAGAGGTGACTGAGTCTGGTCCCTTGCTTGGGTCTTGGAGGGGGTTGCCCATGAGGGGCTGTGGTGGAGTCTACGTTGCTGGGGCTGGGCTGGGCGCTCACCCTGGCAGGAAGCGGGCAGAGGGCTGGTGGGAGAGGCCTCAGATGCTGGCATCCAGCTGGGCGTGGACGAGGTGTCGGGTGGAGGTGCTCTTCACAGAGGTGTGGAACTTGGGCCAACCTGATGCGGGGGGTGTTCACCCAGACCAGGGCCCAAGCCCATGTGTGTCTTAAGGGCTTCACGTGTTCTCCTGATGGCAGTGGGGAGTTGTCGATGGGTCCAGAGAAGTGGACCCTAAACGTGAAGTTCCACGTGAAAATTTCCGTTGAGTCGCAGTGGGGATGGGGAGAAAGTGGGGGAGTCCGGGGACAGGCAGGACTGTGGACTGGAGTCTTGGGATCCAGCAGTGTTCTGCGTTCTTGGCCCCTGGATCCAGTAGCCACACTGGAGTCAACTGGTAGGCACTGGTTTGGAAAAGGTCTCCAGGCTGAGCGAGCAGCGAACCCGGTGAGATTTGCAGTGTGGCTGTGAGAGGAGGGGTCAGTCACGGGTGTGGAAATAGCGCAGAGCACAAGAGCCTCTGGGCGGGAAGGCAGTGGAGGAAATGCTCCATGTTAGGGGTGGGTGGGCCTGCCCCGGGGGCGCCTGTGAGCCGTGGGTCCCGTCTGTGGCGTGGAGCGGGCCGGGCTGCGTGGAGCGGGCCGGGCTGGGTGCAGCGGTCTGTGTGCAGCGGAGGCCTGGGGCCGGCGGTGTCCCTCCCTCAGCATGGGGAAGGTGAGGGCCGCGTCCTGGCGGAGTGCCGGTGAGGCCAGAAGGAAGAGGACAGAGGCTGGACGCGACGCCTGCAGCAGAGGAGAAGCAGGGCAGCAGGGTGCCCTGGCGCCCTCGGGAGCATGGGCGTTTCTGGCCGGGCCTGTCTGGTCAGGGTTGGTTACTCATCATCAGTCCATCTGCCGCGCAGGACTGAGGGCAGGCGGTGGTGCGCTGGCTCTCTGGGGCTGGGTGACGGAGGCAGGTCTAGACGAGGGGCTGGTCGGGAGTCGTGGAGGGCTTCTGGAGCAGATGCGGAGGTCATGGGCCACAGGGAAGGGGCGTGGTTCCTACACGGAGGGGAACTTGAGGGTCGGGGATAACTGCAGCTGGGGTGCAGCCTCGGTGAGAGGCGTGGGCAGACGGGCCTGCAGAGCGGCCCCCAGAGTGCGAGCCGGGCCTGGGGGGGGAGGGGCGGGAGGGGCGAGTGGGGGTAGAGAGGACAGCTGGGCGGCTGCAGGCAATGGGCCTTGTGAGTTGAGGAGGAGGACGGTTCAGAGTCAGGACAGAGCGAACCCTCGGCTGCGAGTGCACAGCGCCTGGACGCCTCTTGGGGGGACGCGGTGTGCATGCGGGGAGCATGGGGGGCTTCTCTGAGGAGAGACGGGGAAGGCGCTAGCTCCCCAACCCCCACCCAGGTGGCCTGCCTTCCTCAGACGCCTCTGGAGCCTGTTCGCGTCCAGTGCATTTAATCGGTAACTGTGTGTAGTTGGTTGAAGTTGTATTTAACTGACGGATACAATTCCTTTGTTTTTAAGGAGCCCTTCTTTGGAGACGGTGCCAACTCCAGTGATTATGACTCGGCCCCACATAGGAATCCTGAGCCTGTGTCAGAAGATGATCCGCCTGAGGCCCAGGACCGCTGTGGCTCATCTGGAGAGAGGGAAGGAGCTGGAGCCTGGGAGGAGCGGTCCCATGTCCGCGAGGCCGCCCCGGCCCTCAGCGCAGGGACCACGCTCGGCTTTGGGACCTTCGCAGCAACCCTGTGGGAGCCCGCGGCCTCGTTCGCCTTTGCTCGGGAGCAGCTCTGGACCGTGTCCTCTGAGCTCAGGGCTGGGAGAGAGAAGGGCGTTGTGGACGAGCCGGGCAGACACACAGAGGTCGGGGAGAAGGCCAGGTTGGTGCACGGCGGGTGGACACATCCCAGAGCCACGGGCGGCGAGGCTGCCGAGACGCTGTCGGGCGGCCTGGCACGAGAGGAGGGCGCGGCTCACGGTCAGTCAGACCCGCCTCCCCCTCCCCCGGGCCTGCGGCCGCTCAGTGAGCCCAGGGCACCTGATGGGAAGACCCTGCTGTCCCCAGTGCTTGAATCACCCAAGTCAGAGCTGGCCAGGTGGACGCTTAATGATGGAACTGCATCTGAATCGGGGTGGCGGTCAACTTCTGGTCATTTCCAGGGACAGCCCAGAGCCTTGGAGAAGGAAAGAGGAGCCATGCAGAGGTGCGTTTCAGGAGCACCCCCTGCCCCGGGAGCTGCGGGACTCGGCCTGGGAGATGCGTGGTCTTGCTCCTTGGCCTCGCGCGCCTCCCCTCGCTGCGGCCACCCCCCGTCTCCCTCGGGGCTGGAGGGTGGCGGTGGTCCTGCCATTCCCCCTGCCATTGGCCCTCCCCGCCCGCCTGGCTCAGAGCAGACGGCGCCTGCTGTCGCGGTGACCATGCTGGAGGTGCCCTCCGAGTCCCCAGGGTGCCCCTTGGGAGGGGGCCATCTGGAGAGCAGCTTCCCCGCTCTGAGCCCCGTGTTGGGGGCGTCTGGTCCTTTTGGTCAGAGGGGCGGCCCACTGGGATGCACGGCCTGTGTGAAGGACTTGAGCAGTGCCCGCTTGCTGCCGCAGCCTCTGTTTCCCCCGCGGTCGGCATTCTTCCCGCGGTCGGCGTTCCCGGGGGCCGCCAGCAGCGGGCTGGCTGCTAGGCAGGCGCTGAGGGTGGAGCTCGCACGTGCTGGAACAGGTTTCACAGCATCACCGCGGCCTCCGTCCAGCTTGGTCAGGAGCGGCTTAAACTTTGGCAGAAGCGCTTCTTGGCACCACAGTGACCTCTTGCGGCGGGGCGGTGAGGAGAGGCTGAGTGCACAGCCCGACGGCGCACCGCGGGCCACGAGGTCCTCAGAGGGCAGCGGGTCGGCGTCCGCATTCGCCGGCGAGGACCACAGTCCCGCTGTGCCCCAGGCCCCGGCATCCGTGCTGCCCAACCAGGTGTCTGTGATCACGAAGCAGGCGCGGTCAGGCCCCGCGCAGCCTTCCCGCCTGGAGCCCCCGGGGCCGGCCGGGAGCGAGCCCGCCTCAGCGATCGCCGGCGACGCCCAGGCCGGCTGGGCGGCGTGTGGAGCGCAGCATGGCGGAGAGAGGGGTGCCCCTGCGCAGAGCAGGGCCCGGAGCCCTGCCTCAGGAGCCCCCACCTCCTGGGGAAGATTAGATAGTGATCCTCCAAGCGGTTCTTACCCCGTAGAAAATTCCCATCATCCTACAGACTGTAAATTCTCTTTCTCTCCTGAGAACATCCTGGTCCCAAACCGAGAGGCCCTGACAGGCGGCGCGGTGCAACAAGAGGCTCAGAAGCGGAGCCCTGGTCTTCCAGCCCCAGAGGTGCACACGGCCAGCCTGGACGTGAACAGACGTCCAGCCCCGGAGCGGACGCTCTCCAGAGGTTTTCCTGCTGGAGAGGAAGTCAGGTGCCCTGGGGTGTCTCTGGCCTTTTCACAGGCCCCGCCTGCCCTGCAGCGTGGCCCAAAGGAACGCCTGCAGCTGGAGTCTGAGAGTCCTGGCGGTGCGCCTCCTGAAGGCCTGGGCACCGCCGAGAGTGCGTTTCCGCGAGCTGCCCCGTGCTGTTACAGCGGCATCCGGGAGGCTGGCGGAGGCGACACTGAGGTGGAGGAGAGCGAGGCGCCCAGCGGCAGCGAGGGGGAGACCGAGCCTGACCCCGCCCCCGAGCCGGGCCCGCACAGCGCCCCCGGGGCCCCCAGGTGGGCCGTGGGGGCTGCAGAGGCTGGGCCTTCCGTCGAGGTGGGCTCCCTGACCTCAGCTCTGCAGGACTTCAACATCAGCACGCTCTCTGAGACGGACAGGCTGTCCACCTCCGAGGTCGTCATGTTTCTTGAAAGCTGTCAGCTGAGAGACTATAGTTCAGCAGACTCCGTTTCAGAATGTTCTAGCAAAGGAACCCTGAATAGAGGAATGAATGAGGAATTGAAGCACAGTGGACCATCAGGAGAAGGGTATGGAAGTCAGATCTGTGAAGAGGAAGCGCTGGAGACTTCTGAAGAGTGGGTGGAGTCGGAGGAGGACGACTCTCCTTTGCGGGGTCAGCTCCCTCGCTGCTCCCTGGAGACACTATCCGAGGTGCTCACCAGGCTCGGGCAGGAGCTGCAGGCCAGCCAGGAGGACAGCGGGGCAGAGGAGGCCACGGGGCTGCTGCTCTTCAGAGGGCCTGAGAGCGCGACGGCAGAGCACCTCCAGCAGCAGCTTCCGCCCCTGAACACGACCGCCGCCACCTCACCCGCGCCGACGGCCGGCCCGCACACGCAGGGCGGGTCCCCTGCACATGCTGCACCTGGCCGCAAGAACACGCAGAGCACGCCTGAGGGCTGCGTGGGTGCGGTCGGGCCGCTGGGCAGTGGGGAGGAGGCCCCGTCAGAACCCACAGAGCCCTCGGTCCTGAGTGCTGACCCAGGAGCGGGTCCAGGAGAGGTGAGGCTTCAATGTCAGATCTCCACGGTGACCTCTGAGGTCATCAACGTGCTCATCAACAAGGATCAGAACCTAGTCATTGAGAAAGGGGACAACTGGACCATCATCAATGGGGTGGCGCTCATGCCGGAGGTGGGCCAGGTTATCCTATGTGATGCCCCAGAGGACGCCCCGCTTTCCGCTGATCCGGAAGAGCTGGCAGCTGGTTTCCTGTCGGTTCCTCCCGTAGAGAGATCCCCAGAGGCTGGTTGCCCTGTCGTACCTCTTCAGGAGCCCCCGTGTGGCCGCAGTGTGGCTGGAACCCAGGAGGAGATCTCAAGCAGTGGGCAGAGTGGTAACTTCGATAAAAGTCGTTTGCGAAACAGACCCGTTAAACCCAGCGTGAGGATCAGCTCTGAGATATATGATCAGAACTTTGAGTCGCAGACTGCTCCGTTTGATCACACTTATTATAACTCGAAACTGGAGCCACTGGGCAAAAATAAGAATCGATCAAAGGTTTCAAACAGAGATCAGTCCAACAAGCCAGTCAAGACTCCAGCATCGGGCCGAGTTGAAACCACTCAGCGTGAAGTCTCTCCTTCGTTTTCAGGGGAAAGAGGTCAGGGAAAACCCCAGAGAAGTCACACGCAAACCATCCTGGCCACTGCCGACACATCCACACCCGCAGACTGCTGTGTGGACACGCTGAGCAAGATCCGGCAGGAGGTGGGGCCCCCGCTGCCCCCACTGCTGGCGCCCCTGATCGCCACGCCACCACGGACATCCAGGCCAGCATCTCCCCTCATCTCCAGCTCCAGCCCCTCCTCGCCCCTGTCCCCGCTCTGCCCGATGTCCCCGTCATCCGAGCCCCTGGCACCTCCTGTGACGTCCCCGCCTCCAGAGGAGCCAGGGCCCTGCTCTCCTCCGTGCGCCTCCCCGTCCCCGTCGTCCGCGCCGGCTGAGGACAGGGTCTTGTCGTCCCCCCTGCAGTTCTGTGCAGCAACCCCAAAACACGCCCTCCCAGTGCCTGGCCGCCTGCCCCCGCTCGCCGCCGCCCATCCTGCGGTGGCAGCGCCCCCGGAGAACTCGGTGAAGATCCTGGACACCATGTACCCGGAGCTGTCCGCCCGGGCCCGCACCCTCAACATCCTTAAAGGGAACATCCAGCTCACGCGAGGCCCACCGGCCGACCGTAAGGGCCTGCCGGGGCCCGTGGGCACCATCGCAGGCTTCCAAGCCATTGCTTCCAGCTCCACCGCCTTCGTGAAGGCAGGGGGAAGCTCCAGCGGCGACGGCAAGCAGGACAAGGCAGGAGGCCTGGGGCCTCCGCAGGACGCAGCTGGGAAAAGGACGTTGTCTGCAAGCACTCTGCGGAGCGCCAAGAGGCTGCGCCTGGACAGCGGGTCCCCAGAGCCGGAGCCCACCCCGAAGGGTATGGGCTGCAGCCCCCAGAGGGACGCCCCCCAGGCTGCAGCCCCGAACACAGAGGAAGATAGGCGTCCTCTCCCAGATTCGCAGTCGCCCCCCAACCCTGAAGAAACCACAGAGACCCCTGACAGAGTCATCGCGGAGGCCCTGAGAAAGATCAGGGAGGCAGCTTTTGACCTGTTACCTGTCATCCGGAGTCACGTGTATGTGGGAAACATCTCCAAAAAGCCAGTCATGCGAGACCAGGAGAAGGAAGTTGTCTACGAGTTCAGCACCACAAAAAAGGTAGGTGGCTTCTCTGCCCAGAAAGCGTTGGGATTGCCCGTCCCCCGACACAGGCTGTCTCCTGCCAGCGAGGGGGGGTCCCTGAACAGAAGGTTATTGTCTGGGATGGACAGTCACCTGTGTAAGTGTCAGGACCTGTGCTTTATTTCTAGCCAGCAGTTTGTACATCTGAGAAGTGGTCAGACGTTGGGGACTTGGTAGTCTGTATTCACTAGATAAGTTACAATTTTAAAGGGAAAAAAAGGTGCCCGTCAGGACTGAAAGTGTACAGTTCCCATTGATGCTGGCACGTTTAAAGGTCCAAAATAGTTTTCTTCAGAGCATCAGTTGCTCTGTGATAGAGCCTTTCTGTCATTACTGTTACATACACTTTTGAGAATTTTGAGAGAAAGTTAGGGTGTGGGTCCCCCCCTCGCCCCCCACACTCAATATAGGTCACCAGTCAAATAGGAACACATGCTTAGTTTCAAAAGGAGGTGGGGAGAGAAGTGTGTAGGTTTACATACTGGGGACTTTCCTAGGTTACTATCTTTTCCATGTTCATGTTGATAGTGGGTGGGTGACTTCAGTGTCCCTGGGTTAACATTAGTGATTATCTGTGAGTATAGGCCTGAAATCACAGTGGTATACATGTTTATTGTTCATTTCAGAAAGCATAAAGAGCAGTACAGGTAACTTTGGAAGGATGTTTATTTTCAAGTGATTGAATGTATCAGGTTACTTAGTACTCCTTTTCCTGAGTAAGGAAACTGTTACCCAGTATTCTAAGAGCTATACAGGGTAAGTGTGTATATTGCATTTCAGAAAACAAGAATGGCAGTAGAGTTAGAGTGGATTTCATACACAGATTATTTTAGTAAAAGCCAAAACATGATAGCTTGTTGGAGTGGCGGTAGTGATGGGCATCAGGAGTTGGGCCCCGTAGCCCTGCTGACCTTGGCCGAACTGCTATCTGCCTGCCGGGGGCCCCTTTCTCCGAAGAGCCTCCCAGCTTCCCTGCTGAGCGGGTTACCGAAATGGCAGCTGGCCTCTGTCTGAGACAGTGCCACTTTTATTTTCCCAGCTTTCCCAAAGACTTGACTTTGTAACTTGTAACTGTTCCGTAGTAGGCTAACGATAAATATCAACATACATCGTCTTTTTGTTTTTTATCCCCCAATTCAGCATTTAGCAGAGAGCTTGCTTCACTGTATCCTCTCAGAGCTGAAAAATCAGAAGATGTCCATGGAGCACAGTTACATCCACGCGCTCTGCAGGGTGTACGTGGGGATCTGCCGGCAGCTGGGCGACCTGGAGAGGGCGCGCCTTTTCTGCTACGGCCTGCTCAAGGAAGGTGCGCGTGGGTGGGGACGCGCTCGCTTCAGAAACGGGCGCTTGCTCTTTTACCTGCTCACATGTGTGTTTGGGTTTCCCGCTGAGCTGTTCTGTGTGTCTTGCGTGCGTCGCCCTGGTTTTCAGTGGGAGGGTTTGTGTGACTGACGCTTGCCTCGGTCAGCACGCACGTCCCTGCTGTGTGTGGGAGGGTCTCTCCCCACTGCGTCCTAGTGTGACTCCTTGTGCAGCTGCTTTGGACTCAGACATGGTCGGCACAGGAGGAAGGAACCGTCGTGATGCAGCTGACTGTGCTGTGTCCCTGGCTGGAAGGAGCAGAAACTGCGGTGAATTCATAGGCTCACAAGACGTTTCAGCGAGACACGGGAAGCAGTGCTGCCCTTCGAATTTTTCCTTTCAACGCTGTGTCTTCAGTCTGCTGGTGGGAGCAGACGGGCCTCATTCTTAACATCAGGTTGTCAGGGAAGCATTTAAATAGCAACGTAATACACAAATGCAACTGAATATTGTACCAGAGGCTGATAACCTTGTGTCACCATAATGTTTATGGGATTTTTGAATCAGGATGAACCTGCCACGTATAGACTTGTGCGTGAGGCTGCTGCGTTCGTTGCCCACTTTGTTTTTGTTTTTTCAGTCACTTATTAGCAAGTAGTTATGGGGTGTACATCAGCGTGAAGGCTTTGACGGTCCCCAGCCCTGGCCTTGGCAGTGTGCATGCATGACTATGACCTGACGGGAGCACACAGCAGGCTCATCGGTGGAGGGCGGCGGGGAGGAGAGCCCCGGGGGCGGCCAGGCCCCCTGGGTCTCTGCTTCTTGCTCAGACGCACCCAGCCCGGTCTCCCCTCCGGACCTTTGTACCTGGTTCTCTCCACTCTGTTAACGGTCAGACTGTTCCTTGCCCTTGCTGTCTCTTCTCCGCTAGATCCGTCCGAGCGCCGGTTTTGTTTCCCTTGTCGTTGTTACGGCCTCTGCCGGAGAACTGCACTGTGTGCTCCCACTGAGTGTCTCTTGAATGAATGAGAGGGACAGTGGAAGGTGGCTTTGAGAGAGTTTTAGGCCTGGGATGCTTTCCCTGTCAAAGTGACTTTTGAGCTTAGATGTGAAGACAGAAGTAAGAGAGAGAATTCCAGGCAGAGGGAACAGCCTGTGATGTCCTCGGATGGGAGGAAGTGTGACTGGAGAAGCGCAGTTTCCCAAGTAACAGATAAAGCAGCACAGAGAGTGTATGCTCTGGGTTTCTCTCCTCCTAAACACGTCGCAGTGTTAAATACAGCAGAACACAGACAGTGAAAGAGATGTGGTTTCATGCCGAACGGGGTACAAATATTTATGTTGACTGCTGTAACCACTTGAAAACACTTAGTTTCTTATAAAATTAAACATTAATTTATCAGCATCATTGCTCAGTTGCTAGGTCATGTCCGACACTCCTGGACCCCATGCGCTTCAGCACACCAGGCTTCCCTGTCCTTAACTATTGCCCAGAGTTTGCTCAGATTCATGTCCATTGAGTCAGGGATGCTATCAGTACCACCTCCTCCTCTGCCACCCCCTTCTCCTTTTGCCTTCAGTCTTTTCCAGCATCAGGTGCTTTTCCATTGAGTCGCTTCTTCACATCAGGTGGCCAAAGAATTGGCCTTCAGTCAATGGAAAGACTGATGTCCTTCATTGAATATTCAGGACTGATTTCATTTAGGATGGACTGGTTGGATCTCCTTGCAGTCCAGGGGACTCTCAAGAGTCTTCTCCAGCACCACAGTTTGAAAGCATCAATTCTTTTGGTGCTCAGCCTTCTTTATGGTCCAGCTTTCACATCCATACATGACTATTGGAAGAAATAGTGACTATACTGACCTTGGTTGGCCAAGTAATGTCTTTACTTTTTAATACAGTCTAGGTTTGTTATAGCTTTCCTTACAAGGAGCAGGTGTCTTTTAATTTCATGGCTGTAGTCACCATCTGTAGTGATTTTGGAGCTAAAGAAAATAAAGTCTATCACTGTTTCCACTGTTTCCCCATCTATTTAACATCAGTGATGGGACCAGATGCCATGATGTTAGTTTTTTGAATGTTGAGTTTTAAGCCAACTTTTTCACTCTCCTCTTCACCCTCATCAAGAGGCTGTTTAGTTCCTCTTTACTTCCTGCCATTAAAGTGGTATCATATGCATATCTGAGGTTGTTGATATGTCTCCTGGCAGTGTTGATTCCATACTGTGATTAATCCAGACGGGCATTCTGCATGATGTACTCCACATAGAGGTTAAATAATCATGGTGACACTATACAGCCTTCTCCTACCCCTTTCCCAATTGTGAGCCAATCCATTGTTCATGTATGGTTCTAATTGTTGCTTCTTGACCCACATAACATATTTTTCAGGAGGCAGATAAAGTGGTCTGATATTCCCATCTCTTAAAGAATTTTCCAGTTTGTTGCAGTCCACACAGTCAATGGCTTTAGTGTAGTCAGTGAAGCAGAAGTAGATGTTTTTCTGGAATTCTGTTTCTCTAAAATCCAGTGAATGTAGACAATTTGATTTGTGTTTCCTCTGCCTTTTCTCAACCCAGCTTGTACATCTGGAAGTTCACCATTCAGTTCACTTTAGTTCAGTCACTCAGTCATGTCTGAGTCTTTCCCACCTCATGGACTGCAGCATGCCAGGCTTCCCTGTCCATCACCAACTCTTGAGCGTGCTCAAACTCATGTCCATCGAGTCCGTGATTCCAGCCAACCGTCTCATCCTCTCTTGTCCCCTTCTCCTCCTGCCTTCAATCTTTCCCAGCATCAGGGTCTTTTCCAGTGAGTCAGTTCTTTGCATCAGGTGGCCAAATTATTGGAGTTTCAGCTTCAGCATCAATCCTTCCAGTGAATATTCAGGACTGATTTCCTTTTGAATTCACTTGTTTAGACTGGTTGTAAAGCCTGGCTTGAAGGATTTTGAGAGTAATCTTGCTAGCCTGCTAAATGAGCACAGTTGTGTGGTAGTTTGACCATTGTTTGACATTGCCCTTCTTTGGGATTGGAATGATAGCTGACCTTTTCTAGTTCTGTGGCCACTGCTGAGTTTTCCAAATTGGCTGACATATGGAGTGCAGCACATCATTTTTTAGGATTTGAAATAGTTCAGTTGGAATTCCATCACCTCCACTAGCTTTGTTAGTAGTAATGCTCCTAAGGCCCACTTGACTTCATGCTCCAGGATGTCAGGTTCTAGGTCAGTGACCACACCGTCGTGGGTGTCCAGGTCATTGAGACCTTTTTGTAGAGTTCTTCTGTGTATTCTGTCCACATTGTCTTAATCTCTTTTGCTTCTGTGAGGTCCTTACTCTTTCTGTTCTTTATCGTGCCCATCCTTACATGAAATGTTGGCATCTCTAATTTTCTTGAAGAGATCTCTAGTCTTTCCCATTCTGTTGTTTTCCTCTGCTGCTTTGCATTGTTTGTTAAAGATGACCTCCTTATCTCTCCTTGCTATTCTCTGGAGCTCTGTATTCAGTTGAGTATATTTTTTCCCTTTTCTCCGTTGCCTTTCTCTCCTCCTCTTCACTCAGCTGTTTGTAAAGCTTCCTCAGACAACCCCTCTGCCTCCTTGCATCTCTTTTCCTTTGGGATGGTCTTGGTCGCCGCCTCCTGTGCAGCGTCACACACTGCCTGCTGTACTTCTTCAGGCAGTGCTGTCTGCCAGATCTAATCTCTTGCATCTCTTTGTCACTTCCACTGTATGATCATAAGGGGTTTGATTTAGATCATACCTGAATGGCCTGGTTTTCCCTGCTCTCTTCAATTTGAGCCTGAATTTTGCAACATAGAGCTGATGATCTGAGCCACAGTCATCTTCAGGTCTTGTTTTTACTGACCATATAGAGTTTCTCCATCTTTGGCTGCAGTATAATCAATCTAATTTTGGTATTGACCATCTGGTGATGTCCATGTGTAGAGTCACCTCTTATGTTGTTGGAAGAGGGTGTTTTCTCTGACCAGTGCTTTCTCTTGGCAAAACTCTGTTAACATTTGTTCTCCTTCATTGTGTACTCCAAGGCCAAACTATCCTGTTGCTCTAGGTATCTCTTGACTTCCTACTTTTTCATTCCAGTCCCCTATGATGGAAAGGACATCTTCTTTGGTGTTAGTTCTAGAAGGTCTTATAGGTCATCATAGAATCGTTCAACTTCAGTTTCTTTGGCATTAGTGGTTGGGGCGTAGACTTGGATTACTGTGATGTTGAATGGTTTGCCTTAGAAATGAACCGAGATTGTTCTGTAGTTTTTGAGATTGCACCTAACTACTACATTTCGGACTCTTGTTGACTCTGAGAGCTACTCCATTTCTTCTGAGGGATTCTTGCCCGCAGTGGTAGATATCATGGTCACCTGAGTTGAATTTGCCCATTCGTTCACTGATTCCTAAGATGTCCATGTTCAGTCTTGCCATCTCCTATTGAACATGTCCAATTTACTTTGATTCATGGACCTAACGCTCCAGGTTCCTATGCAATATCGTTCTTTACAGCATTGAGCTTTCCTTTCACCACCAGACACTTCCACAACTGAGTGCCGTTTCTGCTGGCCCAGCCTCTTCATCCTTTCTGGAGCTATCAGTAATGGCCCTTCGCTTTCCCCCAGTAGCATACTGGACACCTTCCGACCCGGGGCACCCATCTTCTGGTGGCATATCTTTTTGCTTTTGCACGCTGGTTGTGGGACTCTCATGGTGAGAATACTGGGATGGGTCGCCCTCTCTTTCTCCAGTAGAGCATGGTTTGTCCTTAGTCCACAGTGTGACCCACCCGTCTTGGTGGCCCTGCACCTTCGCCACAGCGAGGCTGTGGTCTATCACGGCGGTGGCCTGAAAGGACACTCATCTGGTGGCAGGGTTCTGGGTGCGGGCTCTTGAGACAGGGAGTCTGCCTTCTCCGCTTGTCTTAGAGTGTGTTGCTCTTCTCTTCAGTGGTGCATACTCATGCTGTGTTTCAAATTTGATTAAAGAAACTGCCGAAGGGAAAAGTTGGCTGGAGGCTGGGGGAGAGGACGGGAGGGGCGGACAGAAGGGCCGGGCGGGAGGGACAGGAGTGGATTGGAAGCAGCTAAGGCTGTGGCCTCACAGGGCTTCCTCTTCAGGTGTGGGCAGCACGGGGTGGGGGGGGGGGGGCATTGGTGAAATATGTTCTCGCTTTGTAATTTACTCACTTAATCAGACATGAAGCTTTGTTATCCTGTTTTCTTTCTCATAGATTTCCCAGAGTCTGAGAAGCTGACCTTGTTCATTGCAAACATGTGGCGTGATGTGTTTCTCTCTCAGTCTGTGATTAACAAGGCGATGCAGCTGGTCGCCAGGCAGCGCGCCAAGGGAGAAGTTCTGAACTGTTTGCGCGCCTTCCTCAATTGGGAGAAGGTGAGGTTTCTTTTTATTTTGTGCAATACCATACACATAGACCTTATGTAAATGTTTTATTTTGGTTTTGTGTTAGTTCATGAGCATTTTAGAGCTATTATTCTTCACGTTAGATCCTTCAGAATACCATTTTAGTCTAAGCTTGTGCATTTTGTTCATTAAGTATGCATGAGACACTTGGGGAGAAGGTGTGGACCTCTGTGCCTGGTTCATTGGGCAGAGTTTATTTTGGGTACTAATTTGCCGCTGGTGAAATCCATACCCACGCTTACATAAGTAAGGGTCCCGAGAAGATGCAAACCTCTGCTTCTACACGTGGTACTTAGGTGAGAAAATTGAGATCCCAACTCCTTCCTTTGATGATTTTTCTGAATGTAATCTGTGTTCCTCTTCTCAATTGATGGAATTTGTAGTTTTTTTTTGGAGTATTGTGTGCTTTCTTTTATTACTTTATTTTCTTTAGTAACTGATGTGCTAATATAATGTGTAGATTGGTGTTCTTTTCATAGATTTTCTCTAATGAGAATCTGGGTGCTGAATTGATAGTGATAAACTATAAGAAGAGGTATTGAAGAGGCACTGAAGTCAGTGACAGTTTGATTTTCACTTTGTTCTGCTCTTTGTTAGGACTGTATTACTGTCCTTTAAAAAAAAAATTCTGGCTTGTGCCTGTAGTCAATGTTTATGTGCCATTGTGCTTTCCTTTTTAGTTCTTTCTGATGTCAGTTAGACTTTAATTTTCTTATAAAACAAAAAGTAAAGGGCTTGGTGAATAAAGAGTTAGGGAAGTATTAAACAGCAGGTCTGTAGTCAGCCCTCCTGTCAGCCCATCTCGACAGTCCCGAGTGTGTTGTGTGAGGGCCCATCTGATTGCAGTCACTTGGCCGCGAGCAGAGCCCTCCTGCCTCCGCCCTGCATTCTGCCCTCCGTCCGTGGTTACCTGCGGTTACCCATGGTTACCCGTGGTTACCCGTGGTGACCAGGCGCTCCCTCCCCTGCTGAAGCCTCCCACTGTGCGCTGGGGTCTCCTCCTCCAGCCCACTCAGGCCGAAGCTAGATAGCACAGGGTGGTAAAAGCCATGGTTAACGGGGAAGGGAGAATTTTAGTTAAGTGTATTTTATCTGTATCATATCAAATAAAAATATAAACTCAAAGCTAGCAAGCTCTGGAGGTTGGTGATGGACAGAGAAGCCTTGAGTGCTGCAGTCCATGGGGTGACAAAGAGTCGTACACGACGGAGTGACTGAACTGGACTGAACCTATTAATAATGAGTGATGTGCAAAGAAAAGTTTCATAGTAGAGTAAGGAGAAGGGCTGTTGAAGAACTGAGCATAAAGAACTCAAAGTTCTAGGGTACAAACTCGAAGAAGTTGAATATGACAGAAGCAGAGAGTTCCATATATTTATATTTGGGGCAGGGAATGCCAAGAAATGAAACTGGAGTTACACAGAGACCACCATACAAGCAGTACAAAAAGTCTGAATCAAAGCTTTGAAGTTTATCTTAAATACAAGAGGAGGCCATTGGAAAGCATTTTAAAACAAATTAACAAAGTCAGATTTTCATTTTGGACAATTACTTTGGGTTGCTTTTTAATTCTTTTTTATGACAGTTTTACTGGGAAATAATCACAAGCCATACAATTCACTCTGTAAAATGCACAATTCATTGTTTTTAAGGGAATTCAGAGTTGTTAAACCATCATATGTAATTTCAAAATATTTTTATCACCCTAAAAAAAAAAAACTCATTCTCATTTAGTATTCACTCTGCATTTGTCCCTCTCCTCAGCCCCTAACAACCACTCATCTATTTCTAAATATTTGCCTAATCTGGACATTTCATGTACTTGGAATCATGCAATAAGTAGTTTGTACTGATTGGATTACTTTTCTTAGCATCATATTTTCAAGACTTATTTATGTTGCAGCATGTATCAATATTTCATTCCTTTGTATGGCTGAATAATATATCACATTTGTTTATCCATTCATCAGTTGATGAATATTTGGTTGTTTTAGCTGTGATAATGAAACCATTATGAACTTTTACATGTTAAAAAAAAAAAAAAAAGAGAGAGAGAAATACCTGGGGGGAAAAATACCTTTATAGTCTAAGACTTCCATATTCTATTTTACAGAAGTCAACAGATGTGATACTTAAAACATAAGTAAAGAGACAGTAGAAATCAACAATACAAAAAGTAAAGTTGAACCAAGACTGTATTTTTCACGTCTGCGACATTTGCAAAAGCAGTCGTAAATTTGGCCACACAAGAACTTTAAGTTTTAAAAAGTAAATATTCTACACTCAAAATTGTCTGGTAATGATTTAATAAAATTAGACATAAATAGTTCAAAAATTCTATAAAAATTCAGCAGAGATTGAGATGCACAGTCCCTGGACAATCTGTGAACAAGTGGAAACTCAAAGTAAAATCGCAGTATCAGGAACCCTTCATTACCAGAGACCTCTCATTTTTGGAAGACTCACACTCATTGCAATAGTTTAAATGTCTTCAGTATTACACACAGAAACAAAGTTCTTTAATAACCATCTTGAAAATTAAAAATTTGGGAAAGAATCTAGGAAAGAAAGAATGTGATTTAAAAGGTAACAGTAATAAAGTTGAGAATGAAAAAAAGAAAACACTGCCTTTAAAAAATGCACTGTTTATAATAGCCAGGACATGGAAGCAACCTAGATGCCCATCAGCAGACGAATGGATAAGGAAGCTGTGGTACATATATACCATGGAATATCACTCAGCCATTAAAAAGAATTCATTTGAATCACTTCTAATGAGATGGATGAAACTGGAGCCCATTATACAGAGTGAAGTAAGCCAGAAAGATAAAGAACATTACAGTATACTAACGCATATATATGGAATTTAGAAAGATGGTAATGATAACCCTATATGCAAAACAGAAAAAGAGACACAGATGTATAGAACAGACTTGTGGACTCTGTGGGACAAGGCGAGGGTGGGATGTTTCAAGAGAACAGCATCGAAACATGTATATTATCAAGGGTGAAACAGATCACCAGCCCAGGTTGGATGCATGAGACAAGTGCTCGGACCTGGTGCACTGGGAAGAGCCAAAGGGATTGGGTGGAGAGGGAGGTGGGAGGGGGGACCGGGATGGGGAACACATGTAAATCCATGGCTGATTCATGTCAATGTATGACAAAAACCACTGCAATGATGTAAAGTAATTAGCCTCCAACTAATAAAAATAAATGGAAAAAAAATGCTAATAAAACAGTTCAGATTACTATAAAAAGAGAAAAGCAAAAAATATTCAAGATTTCAGGATAAGAGGAGGTATGAGTAGAGACAAAGGGTGAAAAATGAGAAGACTGTTGCCTGCAATGTCACAGAGGCAGCTCTGGACCTGGATGGTCTCTTAGCAGTATACACATGTCAAAGTTGGCTTTAGGGTCGAACACTGCAATAAACCAGTTTTCAGTTACAAAAGACTGAAAAGATGATTGAAAACTTAGTATACAAGAAGGGTGTATAGATGTCACCCGAACATTAAATCTTATTTTTAAAGAACCAGCTAATTCCAGTCTTCTTCAGGCATCAGAGATTGAAAGCTTCTTGTTCAGTTTAAATCACAAAACCCAGTAAAAAATAACTGAAGAAAGAGAAGAACATTATAAATCCACTCCTGGGTATGAACCCAAGGGAATCCAAGTTTATGTCCACAAAAAGGCTTCTGCAGGAATGCCCAGAGGAGCGTTATTAACTGTAGCCTAAAGCTGTAAGTGAGCCACGTGTCTTCAGTAGGTGAAAGTCCCTTCTCGGCAGTGAGAAGGCGTGCTGGAACTCTCTACACTCAAGAACGTGGAAAGACACACAGACGGCGTGTTCAGCTATAAAAGGAGCTAGATGGAAGACTCTAGTACAGTCTCCTTCAGTTTTTTGAATTTCTGGGAAAAGCAGGTTGATACATATGGTTAGAAAGGTGGCCAAATGAGTTTATTAAAGAATTAAAAAAATTTTTTTTAATTTGTAACTTTAGTTCTCTGATTTGAGTTAATGAAACTTTGCATTCCTACGTGGATTGGGGAGTCTTTTCTAGTCTGGCTGGCTTCTGCATTGTGCCTGGAGCTTTTTATCTGGCCTCTCTGCCGCTATTGTATAATCATTTAGGACAGCTGTTATGCCTAGACAAACACAGTTCCCTCTTCAAAATCCAGCTTTCAAAGGGTGTCTTTTAAAGTTACGTGATGATTGATCTGATGCTCATTATGTGCTTTAAGATCACCCATAGAAGATACTTTACATTTGAAACTCTAAATCCCCCCCTTTTTTTTTTCCTTTATTTGCTAGAATGCGCCTGTAGATGTTGGCTTCATGGTTTCTAAGCTGCTTTTGACCATACAGTTATGTCCAAAAACAGAATTTCAGCCCAGTGCCAGGTTTGGGGAAGATCTGAGTGATAGCACTTGGGAGTACGTATGCGCCATCGACCTGCTGTGCTGCCACCAGAAGTGGGTTTGGACGCACGACAACATCATCAGGTACTGGCTGCTCTGCTGACTCAGGCTGGGTTATTTGAATTGTCAAGTAGTCCGTTCAGTGATTGCCGAATTGTTGTGGTTTGAATAATTTTTGCTTTTAAGGCAGCCGAACCGTTTACAACACACATTTTGATTTGGATGCAAGTTAATAAAACTGGTCGTAAAATGCCAGTGTCGCTGTGACATCCCCCCACTTTATTTTTTTAAGGTACCTTTCACTAGTTTTCATTGTCTTCACTTACTACTGTCTCTTTCCCAATGGGAAATGAATCTCATGAGTGGGGGGCCTTTGGTTCCCTGGCCTCCCCGGCATGTGGAGACCTGTCCCTACGCAAGCGAGGCGCTCAGCGAGTATGTGTGGATGGAATGCCGCAATCACTGTCTTAACGTGCGGACACTGTGGGAGGGCCACAGGAACGGCGCTGTTCAGGATTCTGCACTGGCGGCTCTTCTCGCTGGGGTTTTGGGAGAGGACGGGGTCTGAGACGCTCAGGCATCTGTTGTGTAATGAACTAACTTCTCTGTGTATCAGCTATGCAGCATCTTTGCAGAATGGAAAAATAGTCAAGTATTTATAATTGTCTGTGGTTAAATAGAACGTTAATTTTCTTACAACCCTGACTGAGAAAGGCTGGTTTAAAGGAGCTTATGACATTGAAAAGGAGTCCCCAAAGGATTGATAGTATGTATCTTGATATCCTGTGGACACTTGTTCATGTTTTCCCTTAACACTGGGAAAAGATGATACATCTAAATGTTAAGCAATAGATAGTTGAATTCTGGGACGTCTATATAATGAGGTATAGCCACTTTAGAATTAAGAGCCGTACTACATAGGTTTGTGTGTGTTGAGACGAAAGTGTTCTGTAGTCTGTTACTAAGAAAGTGCCAGGGCCATCTGTTCCGTGCTGTGTAACAAGCGAGTGGCTACCCTGTGTCCCCTCTTCCTGGGAGCTGGGGGCAGGGCCCTTCTCCCCAGTGACAGGTGAGACCACCATGGACGGGGCCAGTGGAGGTGCTCTGTCCAGGGTCCCCGCACTAGTGGAGTGGACAGAGTGGCGAACAGCAGGGTCTCTGCCTCGGCTGCTTGAGACCCTGATTCCTGAGCACTCTGGTCACTGTCCATGTTTTTTACATAAATGCAGGCATAGACGTGTGTGGCAGGAAAAGCCCCAAATTAAAAGAATGATAGTTATCTGACTGTGTTATTTGGAGTGCTTTTAATATACATTTTCCCTTTGTTTGTCTGTATTAAACTTTTCTGATGTTATAAATACTATGTAAGAAGTTAATACCTTTTTGGAAAGAGAAAGCAAAGAGGAATTGCCACTGTTTCTAGTCGGTAGAAAGTTTCTCTAATCCGTGTGAAGTGCAGTTCATTCCCTCTGGTTTAGTTCTTTTTATGAAATACAGCCTGTCCTTGCTTCTCCCCGGGAAACGAGGCTTCTAGAACACAGGCGCACCTGATGTCTAGATGGTCCACATGAGAATCCAGACTCTGCTACTTCTAGTCCTGCAGCTTGGGGACGATACTGGGTACTTTGCCTTGTGAAAAGTGTTTAAACAAAATAAAGATGCCAGCACTGGTGTTTGCAGACTTTTTAAAGCCACTGTGAGCACTGAGATCCTGAGTTTTCAGTGTCTGTTCTGTTGTTAGCCAGAAATGCTACATCTTCCTCTTCTTCACTGATTGTCACTTATGCACTATTTGACAGGTTCGTAATATTTGAGCCATGGTGGGCGTGCACACTTTCATACACATACATACATGTCTATATTTGTCGTCGTTGTTTTGCAGCAAGGAGCTGTGGCCTGTAATGGATAAGTGGATAAAGTACAGAAAAGGACATCCGAACATCGCCTACACTCCTGATATCATCATAGCATCAGTGCTGAGGCTCATCGGTGAGTTGTCTCCTGTACTGAATTTGTTCTTGTTATTGCTGCTGTGTTGGTGGGAGAGTAAGTGTGGAGCAGCGACAAATGGTGACTGAACTTCACTACAGCAACTGACTCTACAGCCATTAGAGGAGCTGCTTTGGCGCCGAATTAGTCTCCCTTACTCATGCTCTTTAGACATTAACACTCTATTCAACTTTGTCAGCGAGTCAGGGCTTTCTTGTAGTGCATTTTATCTGCAGTTGAACTCTTCATTCTCAGATACTAATTTTAATATGTAGACACATACACATATCTACATACACATACCAGGATACATAAATTGCTGTAAGTTATAGTCTGATTTGATTTATAAAATAAGTTTATCTTCCCTACTTTCACTCCCCCCGTTTTTTTTTTTTTTGTACTTGCTCAGTAAGGATAGCTTTGTACTTCCATAATTGGAACTAGTTTTATTTTGTTTCTGCAATTCTAAGCTGAATATACAGAAATTAAAATCATTGCTTAAAAATATTTGGAAGAAACGGATTGTTTTTAATCTCAGGTCTGAAAAGGACCTCAGTCACCCTTTAGTTCTGCTGTTCCCTTTGCACCTTACAAGTCTTTAGTTTTTACTTTGACTAATTTTTTTCCTTTTTTGCCACACCTCTGACAACCTGCTCTCGATTCGCTGTGTTATTTCATTATCAGTGATGAAATCTATTCATTATTAGCAGGCTGTCTGTCTTTACTATGAACTGATTCTCTGCCATGTCTTCATCTCCTGGGAGCAGACAAAACTGGGTTCACCCTGTTGCTGTGTCAGGGCCCTTTTGGTCACTGAAGGTAGTTATCATGACTATACAGACATCTTGGAGTGTGCAGTCACGTGGGCCTTAGGAAACACCACTGTGAACAAAGCTAGTGGAGGTGATGGAATTCCAGCTGAGCTATTGCAGATCCTCAAAGATGATGCTGTGAATGTGCTGCACTCAATATGCCAGGAAATTTGGGAAACTCACCAGTGGCTACAGGACTGGAAAAGGTCAGTTTTCATTCCAGTCCCAAAGAAAGGCAGTGCCAAAGAATGTACAAACTACCACACAGTTGCACTCATTTCACACGCAAGCAGAATAATGCTCAAAATTCTCCAAGCTTGGTTTCAATAGTACATTAATTGAGAATTTCCAGATGGTCAGGCTGGATTTAGAAAAGGCAGAAGAACCAGGGATCAAATTGCCAGCATCCATTGGATCATAGAAAAAGCAAGAGAATTCCAGAAAAACATCTACTGCTTCATTGACTACGCTAAAACCTTTGACTGTGTGGATTACAACAAACTGGAAAATTCTTAAAGAGATGGGAATACCAGACAACCTTAACCTGCCTCCTGAGAAATCTGTATGCAGGTCAAGAAGCAACAGTTACAACTGGACATGGAACAATGGACTGGTTCCAAATCGGGAAAGAAGTACGTTTCAAGGCTGTATATTGTCACCCTGCTTATTTAACTTATATGCAGAGTACATCATGAGAAATGCTCGGCTGGAGGAAGCACAAGCTGGAATCAAGATTGCCGGGAGAAATATCAATAACCTCAGATAATGCAGATGACACCACCCTATGGCAGAGAGTGACATGGAAATAAAGAGCCTCTTGATGAAGGTGAAAGAGGAGAGTGAAAAAGCTGGCTTAAAACATTAAAAAAAACTAAGATCATGGTATCCAGTCCCATCACTTCATGACAAATAGGTGGAGAAACAGTGGAAACAGTGACCGATTTATTTACTTGGGCTCCAAAGTCACTGCAGATGGGACTGCAGCCATGAAATTAAAAGACTCTTGCTCCTTGGAAGAAAAGCTATGACCAACCCAGACAGCATATTGAAAAGCAGAGACATTACATTGCCAACAAAGGTCTATCTAGTCAGAGCTATGATTTTCCCAGTTGTCATGTATGGATGTGAGAGTTGGACCATAAAAAAGGCTGAGTGCGAAGAATTGATGCTTTTGAACTGTGGTATTGGAGAAGACTCTTGAGAGTCCCTTGGACTGCAAGGAGATCCAACCAGTAAATCCTAAAGGGAATCAGTCCTGAATATTCTTTGGAAGGGCTGATGCTGAAGCTGAAGTTCCAATACTTTAGCCACCTGATACTAAGAACTGACTCACTGGAAAAGACCCTGATGCTGGGAAAGATTGAAGGCGGGAGGAGAAGGGGATGACAGAGGAGGAAATGGCTGGATGGCATCACCAGTTGAGTGGACATGAGTTTGAACAAATTCTGGGAGATGGTGAAGGACACGGAAGCCTGGCGTGCTGCAGTCCATGGGGTCAAAAAGAGTCTAAACTGTCTCATCCTCTGTATCTTTGGCATTTAATTAAAACTCAAAGATATTACCATTTGAAATGAGGTTTAAGAATTTTTAAATCCTGTAAATCAGTCTTATAAGTAGGTCACAGTAAGAAATATAATACCTCTGACTGATTTTGTTACTCTGTCTGTTAACATGCACTGTGCACATTGACCTGCAAACATAGGAACGTTGTAAATAAATAGATAAGCTGAGTCCTGACAACAGCCTGGTTTCAAAGTGGACATCTACTGATTTTCACTGGAGATAACCCAACATATACTTGGAGTTAAGTATAGAACGAGAAAGCGTGGAGGTGTGGGAGTGGAGATGGCTTCTTAGGGCACGGCTCTCCTGTGCCCTGAGATCAGTGTCCCAGGCGGGGCCGCCAGGACACCGAAGGGCCTGTAGCTGCATTTCTAGCTGTCAGGTGATGGCATGAGTATGTCTGGAAACCCTGGTTTCAGCAGCAGCTTCTCTTCTGGATTCAGGAAGGAAGGTTTGTACCTCTTGAGAATTCTCCTCTGTGCCTGGAGAATTCCATGCATAGAGGAGCCTGGTGGACTATAGTCCTTGGGGTCACAAAGAGTTGGGCACAACTGAGCAACTAACACTCTGAGAAAATAGTTTGTAAGATTTGATGATACATTATTTAGAGTAACGTGTATATTTACATAATTAAGAGTGACATATAATACAATTGTATATCTTATAGGGATAATTCGTGTCTGACTCTTTGTGACCCCACGAACTGTAGCCAACCTGGCTCCTCTGTCCATGGGGATTCTCCAGGCAGGAATACTGGGGTGGGTTTGCAATGCCCTCCTCCAAGGGATCTTCCTGACCCAGGGATCGAACCCAGGTCTCCTGCATTGCAGGTGGATTCTTTACCGTCTGAGCACCAGGGAAGCCCATAGGAGTAATTAATAATGTATAATTAATATGTAGTTAACAGTACTGTATAATAAAACGATAATGTAACTACATTTACTTAAATGTAGTTCAAAGAAAGGCTAATTAGGAAGCAAGTGTCCTTTGGAAGATAGCAGAGACTGGCCTACCTAGCGAATGCTGCCTGGTCACAGGAGGACCAGGGCAGGTGGAGCTCACATGCCTGGAAAGACTGGTGTGCAGAGGGCAGGGGGCGGCCGGTCCATTCCAGGAGAGTGTCGGCGAGCTTCACGCGGTGTCTGTTGGCACTGAAAGCCCCCGCCCCGCCTTGCTTAGCAGCTTGCTTAGGGGGGTGGACTGGGGGTGGGCCCCGGTGAGGCCCAGTCTGAGGACGGGGCGGGATCCTGCGCGAGCTCTAGGGTGGGCCAGGGGCTGTCCTTCCCGCGCACTCACCTCAGGTGGAGTTTGAGCCGCTTCTAAGAAGAAAGTGTTGGAGAAGCATCTTAAGTTTCTGAAGCTGACATTTACTAAAGAATTTAGCGAATAATTAAGTTGGTCAGTATGACTTCATAATAATAAATGAGGTCCCACAGCAGGTGTCATAAAATACAGCAATCATCTGTATTCTCAACTCCCAAATGTGTAAATCCCAGGGGCTTTCTGCTCCTTGGGACGTAAAGCGGGACGGTCCAGGGCCATCTGGTGCTGGGTTGGGGTGTGAACACCGCCGTGGGCACGCCTGGTTATTAGCCTGCCTGAACACTAATGGAGTGCCGGGCCTTGCGTGGAGTGTTTGGATCCCTCTGGAGGAGTGGAGAGCCTGGCAGAGCTAGGGTATGGGGAGAGGTGAGCCCATCTGAGGTCCTGGGTCGGAAGGGAGCAGAGCAGGGCCGGAAGTCAGCCTCCACTGGATGCAGAGGCATATAAGGCCACATGATACCACTTGCTGCCCCCAGAGGCTTCTGAGGTGGCCCGGCTGGGGTCAGCGGAGCCCTGAGCTCGGCCGGCACTGTCCCTCCCGCCAGGGTTTGTGCGTAGACTGCAGGAGCCAGGCCTGCTTGATTTCTGTTCAGGGTCTTACCATGTCGTTCAGCTTTTCTGTGGAATTGACATGAATACATCCTTTCCTTAACATACCTGCGTATAAAACCGTGACAGAGAGCCCTGGGTGACTGTCCAGCTCTGAGCCCTGCCCTGTAGATGGGCCACGTTCCCTGTGACCCTCAGCTCTCCCCAGGCCTCCCTGAGTGTGGAGAGTGTTGCCTTTGATCTGAGATCACCTCGGTGTCTCTTACTTGAATTTCATTGTGGCCAAACTGCCTTGGACTCACCCACATTCCTTCCGTGGGGGGACTTTTCTTCCCCCCACAGAAAATCTCTTTAACAGATTTGTCCATCGTCTTTGTCAAGTCATCATATGTATAAGTGTTAAGTCCTAGACCGTATATCTCAGACTCATGAGTTCCTCTTATTGTATCTCTGATTTACTCTGGTAGATAGCTTCTAAAACCCAATTCATTAAGCATTTTTAATTGAAAGAAAAGGATCCAATATAATACAGTCAGGTGTTACCTGGTGGTGATGATGTAGTCGCTCAGTAGTGTTGGACTCTTTGTGACCCCATTGACTGTAGCCTACCAGGCTCCTCTGTCCATGGGATTTCTGGAATCCCTGAATACTGGAGTGGGTTGCCATTCTGTTCTCCGGGAAATCTTCCCAACCCAAGGGGTGAACCTGCGTTTCCTGCACTGGCAGGTGGGTTCTTCCCCACTGAGCCAGGAGGGCAGCCCCTGTGTTTGCTGGGAGCACAGGCACACGGCCCCACAGCTGTGTGAGCCGCCCGCCGGACGCTCCTCAGAGGTGATCTCCGAGGGCAGGGCTGCGGACAGGCGCTTAGCACGTTGATCTAATGCAAGGAGGTGTTTAAGAGTGACGGTGCCTTGACCTTTCTCAGCTCTGAACTACATTACTTTTCAGCCTCAGTGAAAGACTGCCTGAGAGATGATCCAGATGTTTATGGTTTCCTCCCGGGTTAGGCATTATCCGGGGAGTCCCTGGTAGAAGGAACTTCCTGGAGGGCTGTGTCTGTCGCAGCGTTCAGGGTGTATGTGGCCAGCACTGAGCGAGCCCCAGCTGGGGATGCAAAGTGACGAAGCTGCCGTAGCGCCCCGCCCCGGTGTCTCCACCCGCAGGGCAGGTGGCCTGGTTGATGCACAGACCTGTGGGCCGCCTGTAGTGCTGAGAAAGCGTGTGGACACAGCGGTGCCTGTGCAGGGTAGCATGGTCACAAGAGCTCGGGAAGGGGCCTCGGGGACCCCCTCCCAAGTAAAGGGGGGCAGACCATGCGGCCTGGCCCTGGGGAGGGGCATCCTGCTCTGGAGCAGGCGGGTGCCCCCAGGTGAGTGGCCGCTCGGCGGGGAGCGTTGTCCTGGTGAGAGCCCCAGAGAGCTTTTGTCAGCCCGGGTTCTGTGTGTCATTGACCATAATAGAAGTTAAAACGTGTACTTTAAAAAACCTGGCTGTTCATTTGAAATTAATTAAATGATACTAGTCATTGTCAATGGCATTTTTAATGAAAAACAGCTGTTTCCGAACAAAAATAGAATGGAGCCGTATCTTGTTGCAAGTCTCTTTACTGTCTGGTTTCCCATGGCTGCTCTGCGTTCCCTTTTGGCTTTCGGCTGCACGTGGTTCTGGTTGAGGTATTTGGAGAAAACCCGGTCTCGCACAGATCTGTGGTTGATGAAAGGCGCATTTTAACAGCCTGTGGGAGTAACTCTGGGGGCACTTCTTTGACACTGGGCTTTCTGGGGGCTCAGTGGTAAAGACCTCACCTGCAATGTAGGAGAGCCAGGTTCAATCCCTGGGTCGGGAAGATCCCCGGGAGAAGGGCGTGGCAACCCACTCCAGTACCCTTGTCTGGAGAAGCCCACGGACAGAGCGGCCTGGCGGGCTACAGTCCATGGGGTCACAAAGGGTCAGATATGACTGAGTGACTAAATAGCGGTGGCAGCCCGGTTTCAGACCCTGAAGCTCAGCGCACATAATGTTGAACAAAAGAACACATAAGTTTTAAACTCTTAGGAAAAGTTAGCATTTAACCCAAGGTTGTTTACATTTTGTATTTGTTTCCCTCTAGGTCGTTTAGGTCAATTGGGTTTGAAGGAAGGGTTCCCGTCTGCAGTGAAGAACATCAGTACGGTGATTGGTATGTTTATCCAGCATGCCCAGGATGAAGGTACAGCTTCTGTTTATCATACTTACTTTCAGATCATTTGCGTTCCTCTCATCCAGTCTCTCTTGCGTTCTTAACCACATACTGTGCTCTGCATGTCTCCCGCCGTTTGGCCGTGATTTTAACGAGGCCGCACTCCGCCCGTGTTCTCATCACTGGCGTTGGAACCTGTGTGGGCTTCCTGCAGTTTGCCTGGTCGCCACTCATGCCCTTGGGCAGCAAACCCCTAAGGAAGGAAGGGACTCTTCCCAACCTGGTATTGGCATTCTGTCTCAGCAGCCGTCGGCACTGGCTTCCCACCGCCCTGTGACCCCCGCTGCCCCCATGTGCCTGGCCGAAGGTGTGTCCTGATGACAAGGGGGGGTGGGGTCACACGTGTGAAGCAGCGGCTCCACTGCAGCCTGGGTGTCCATACATAATAGCCGGGAGAACTTGGAAACTGGAAACCTCTGAGCCAATCTTCACGCTACCCATGTTCTTTAATTTGCATACAGCAAAGCATGTAATATTATAGTCTTATTCTTTAGTGGGAAGAGCTTAAAACTGAGAAAGTGACCCTTTGAAGCAGTGAGTCTGTCGTTTTTATTTGAATGCTTTGCCATCAAGGGGTAATGCGTGTACACAGTTTACATCCCAGATGAGCTTAACCTCTAGGTTGTCCTCCTCTTTCACGGTGAGGCTTGGCAGGTTGAGCTACTGAGAACCTCTTTCTCTTTGGTCTTAGCATAGCTGCTGAGATAATGCCCATGACAGTGTTTCCTTCCCATCTGGACCATGTTACCTTCCCGTCTGGACCGTGCTCCCTTCCCGTCTAGACGATGTGTTGCCCAGAGCCGGCAGCTCAGACGTTTCCTAGCAGGAGGAGGGTCGATGGGGACTCACTCGGGCCTGCCCCCCCAATGCAGCACAGGTCCCCAGGACGGCCCTCCCGGGCAGCACTGACTGTGTTATGATTAGGAAGCTGACGCCCCAGGAGAGACCTTGAGCTGGATGGTGCGGCCAGCTCACAGCTAGGCCCAAGGCCAGAGCCGCAGCTCCACACGCGCTCCTGCTCGTTCGTCTCTGTGGCTTTCACACCCGTGTGACTCCTTTGTCAGGCTTTTTGTTTTAGTCTTGTGTTCCCTTCTCTGATGACCATGGAGCTAAACGGGAAACTAACTCTAAAGCTGGTGCAGCACTACCTACAGCATCACCATCTGAACGTGTGGGTTTTGAGATGTTTGTTTTTAAACACTTGTTTACCTTGTTGAGCACTGCATCACTAACAGTGTATAGTTAATAATAAGGTTTATAGAAATGACTCCTAAATTTTTTAAACTAAATAATTTAAGTGATTTAACTAAAATTAGAGAAGAAAATGGCAACCCACTCCAGTATTCTTGCCTGGAGAATCCCATGGACACAGGAGCCTGGCGGGCTACAGTCCATGGGGTCGCAGGAGTTGGATACAACTTAGTGACTAAATTGAACTAAATTAAACTTGAATTAAATAACTCCTAAATAAACTCGAGCCATTTGAATGAGAGCTCTTACATACCATAATCTCTAAGCTGGCTCTAGTCTGCAATTAAATGCCATGTCGGTGATCATGCTGTGTGCCCTAGTGTGTAAGAGTATATTTGTTGTACTATATTGGGCTTCGCTGGTGATTCAGACAGTAAAGAGCGTGCAGGCAAAGCAGGAGATCCAGGTTTGATCCCTGGGTCAGGAAGATCCCCTGGAGAAGAGAATGGCAACCCACTCCAGTGTTCTTGCCTAGAGAATCCCATGGACAGAGGAGCCTGGTGGGTTACAGTCCATGGAGTTGCAAAGAGTTGGACACGACCGAGTGACTAACACTTTCATACTAAAAAGCAGTTTTTCATTTGCTCTCATTTCATTGTTTTTCTTTTCCAAAGTTCATGTGTAAATACTTGCAGTGGGTTAATGGAGTCGTTTACTTGACGGATGCTTTGGGGTCCACATTCTCTTGAACCTTAGGTGCGGGATGTGGTCCTTCCAGAACTGCCGCTGGAGAGCTTGACTGCGGTTGGGGAGGGCCGGCACTCCCCGTGCGCCCTCCGCTCCGCTCGCCATCCCGGGGTGCCGGCATCACCAGGGGTCTGTAGAGACTGGGCTGTGTTTTGTTTTTTCGTTTGTAGAAGGACTTAATGAGCTGTTTTTTCATTGTTGGTTTTGTTTTTATTACTAGTTTTCATTGCTGACAGAAAGTATATGAATAGTGATTCACTAGATTAACAACATTAAGATTGTGAATAGCAGAGCTTTTCTCATGTGATGACAGTTGTGGAAATGCTTTTCAGATATCCCGTGGGGGGTCCAGCTGGCCGCTGTGTACGCCCTGTGCGACCTGAGCCCCAGCAACCCGGCGGAGATCTCCAAGATCCTGGATGCCTGGCGCAGGGAGACGGCGCGCAGCGTCCCCGCCGCGGTGCTCGGTGCCATGGACGAGGTGGGCGCGCTGTGCGCGGAGGGGCGAGGCTGAGCGCCTGCGCCGCCGAAGTGCCTTCACGCGTCTCGGGGCCGCCGGGCAGCCGGCCTCCAGGATGCGCCCCCTGGGCCGAGGCTGAGATACCGGGGCGGGCCCCGAACCGCGCTCGCCTCCCTTCCGGCTGTGGTGAGCATGGATGTTCGGACTGGAGTGTTTGTGTCTTGGTCAAACAACAGAAACTTGAACCTAGCCCTTTTTTGCTGCAGAAAGTGTCTTTTTTTTTTTTTGGTCGCTTTTTGAAACTGAGTGGCATTTTGTAATGAAATTAATATAAAACCATTATTTGGTTCCTGAGCCAGTTTTGGACCTTGTGCCCAAGTGACTGACCTGGAGGAAGCGCGGCTGAAGTGGAGGCCGAAGGTTCTGCCAGCGTCCTCGCCGGCAGGGGCCACACGTCTGCCCGCAGGCGCGGCCGCCGCTGCTCAGGGTAGAGACCGGGGCGCGCCTCTCCCGCCGCTCAGCCCGGGAGGAGAGAGAGAGTCCAGGCTCCCGGGGTCTGCACCCCGCCCAGCGCAGGCAGGCCCCCCGTGTGCCCTGTATATACGGACAGCCAGCAATGTGTCTCACATTTGATGATATTCCACTTTTCGGAATTTTAGTATTTGTACAGAGAAAAATGGGTTTAATAACTCACCCTGGTCCTGATTTGTCCGGTAGTCATCATTTCTTAAAATTCTTGTATGTGTTTTTTTATAATAAAAAGTGAAAGTAAGCCATGCACATGAGTGTCCTGATGAGTACAGTGACCCTTGCCCGCCTTCTGCTCCAGCCAAAGATGAAGTGAGCCCCGGGTGCTGACCAAAGACGGAGCCGCCGCCCGGGAGCCTCCTCTGCGGACGCGGGCACGGACGCCAGGATGTGCCCGCTGTGCGTCCTCCAAGGCTTTCAGGGACGGGAGACCCCGCGCCAGCGCTGCCTGGCGCTCAGTGTTGGATGTCTCCGTTTAGCTAGAGATGCTCCCCTTAAAAATTACCTCTGACAACTATTTTGTTATTCCTTCCCCCTGTTTTTAAAGGAATTATAACAGACGGAGATTTATAAAAAGAAACCTCTGCCTCGCCCTTTGGATGCTTTTTGTCTGTGTGTTCCTTCTTTCTCCCTCTGTCTCCGAAGCGCGTGGTCTGTGCCAGAACCTGGCTGGGCGGAGCTGGTGAGGAAAGCGGCCAGGTTCTCAAAGACCTGTGTGATCTTTGGTTACGTGCAGTGAGAGGGACACGGGGGCTTGGAGCAGGGTAGCCTGCCCAGGAGGGTTCCCCCGAGGAGGTCACTTGTGAGTTAGGCGCTGAGAGGAGGGGCCCTGGAATGGTCCTGGTGGACAGGTGTGCTGGCTCTGAGAGGGGCAGGGCCTGCCCTGCGTCAGCAGTGCTCTATGTGATGCCCATTGTTCGGGAACATGGGTGCCTGCCCCTCCCTGGGACCTGGGCAGCCCTGGGCTCGGTGACACTCTGAGGGAGGTTTGAGCAGGTGTGACGGGGCAGGGGGTTGGCGCTGGTGGGTGCAGACCACTGGCAGGGGCGGGGGCAGATGTCACACGGATCTTGGGGGTGAAATCAGTGCTGAGTTTGGCGAGGGACAGAAAGGAGTTGGGGGTCCCACAGTTTTGAGTTGGGGACGGGGGCTCTGGGTTGGTGATAGGAGCCACGAATCCTGGGTGTGTGCTGGGACGCAGACACCCCCGTGGAGGCTGCTGGGAGCCTGTAGAGACAGGAGTCGAGCCGGGACGAGCTGAGGCGGATGTCAGAAGGGGGACAGGGCTCCGAGGGTGTTTAAGCGAGTGGCTGCCTAGGACAAGTCACTTCCCTCCCTCAGCGCCTCCTGTGATTTGAAGACGCCTGGGAGGGGGCGGAGGAGGAGACGCCAGGCGGGCCGGGAGGGGGTGGCTGAGAAGCATGTTGGCACCTGCGCCCTGGTCCAAGTCAGGGGAGCGGGAGGGCAGGGCTGCTGGAGGCCATGAGGTCCGCCGTCCCGGAGGAGCGGCAGGATGGGTGGAGTCTGCTGCTTGGGACATGCTGACCCTGGAGGGTTGCAGAGTAAGAGGGGGTAGGGGGAGAGGGCAGGTCTGGGGACACAGTGTGGGGGCAAACTTGCCTGGTGTCACATGCTTCGTCATATGGCTCACAGTAAAGAGGGCTTCCCTGCTAGCTCAGTTGGTAAAGAATCCCCCTGCAATGTAGGACACCCCGGTTCAATTCCTGGGTCGGGAAGATCCCCTGGAGAAGGGATAGAGGACAGTCACTCTACAATACTGTGATGGTTTCTGCCATACATCATGAATGAATGATGTATGAATCAGTGGATCAGCCATAGGTACACGTTCCCTCCCTCCCCATCCCAACCCACATACTCATAGCCAGCGCTCTTACTGGACTTGGCCCCAGGACTCCTAGGGAAGCTCCAGCTTTTCATTCGGAGCTCAGAATCAGCCTGGAGGTGACACTTGAGGCTGTAATCCCCCCGCCCAGGAATGCTTGGTCACGTTGGCTTTTTACGTGGGGTGAGGCAGCGTAACTCACAAATTTCCTGTAGAAGCATGCAAGGGGTTCTGTGCCTGGCCTGGAAGGAGCAGCGTGGTGCCACTAGAGGGCGCTGCGGCCCCGCCGCGAGCCGCAGGGCCCCAGACACAGGGCTCCTAGGGCCGCGGTGCGCTCTCGGGAAGACGTCTCTCCACATCTGCGGCCTTGAACCGAGGCGGTTTTAGTGCCCGCGCCCTTCTCTCCAGGAGTTGAGTGGGGAAAACGTGTGGGAAGGGTAACTTGTAAAATAGACGGTATTCAAAAGCATCAGACCGATGCTGAAGCTGAAGCTTCAATACTTTGGCCGCCTGGTGCAAAGAGCTGGCTCATTGGAAAAGACCCTGATGCTGGGAAAGACTGAGCGCAGGAGGAGAAGGGGACGACAGAGGGTGAGATGGTGGGATGGCATCACTGACTCGATGGACCTGAGTTTGAGCAAGCTCCAGGAGTTGATGATGGACAGGGAGGCCTGGCATGCTGCAGTCCATGGGGTCGCAAAGAGTCAGACAAATCTTGTTTATTGAATAACAACAAGATCGTAGTAATTCCCTCCTTCTCCAATCACCACCAAAAAAAAAACCAGAAGCAAATATTTGCCAGTTTGTTCAGATTCTTTCTTGGATATTTTCTGATGATCCTAAAACAAAATACTTTGACAAAAATAAAACGTGCCAGCTGGGCAATGCTGATGGTGGCTGTGGTGGAGGGTCATGTGATGCAGCCCGGTGACGTGTATAAAGGTGGATAACTTCCCCTGTCCACCCGGAATGCACTCCGTTCCTCTCCAGGAGCACGTCCTATCGTGGGGAACCATGGTGCAGAGAGCCGTGACCCAGAATCTGGTCAACCTGCCTGATGAAGGCCAACGATGCCGCACAAGTCTCCCTGAGGAACGCTCTAGGAATTCAGGGGACTTTGGAAAGGAAGAGCCGTCCAGCTAACACCTCCCACTTGCATTTCCTTTACTCGCCCGACGCTTTCTCAGAGAAATTCAGCGTGCTTGTTTTGATTTTGGAACAAGCAGGAAGTTCCATTTCTTGCCTCTAAAGAGGGTTTTAAGGAAGCCCTACTTTCATAGCATGACATTTCTGCCCTCGTATGCTCGGATTGTTTTCATGAATCACAGAGCCATCACGGTGTTGCAGTCAGCGTGTTCAGCACAGGAGAGGGGTTCTAACGGTGCAGACAGAATTACGAGGAAGAGTGGTGGTGAGGGATGCTTCAGTTTAGTTCTATGCAAAGTTTGTTCAGCGCAGAGAAAGTGCTCCTGACGGTGTCGACAAAGACAGAATTACGAGGAAGAGTGGTGGTGAGGGATGCTTCAGTTTAGTTCTATGCAAAGTTTGTTCAGCGCAGAGAAAGTGCTCCTGACGGTGTCGACAAAGACAGAATTACGAGGAAGAGTGGTGGTGAGGGATGCTTCAGTTTAGTTCTATGCAAAGTTTGTTCAGCGCAGAGAAAGTGCTCCTGACGGTGTCGACAAAGACAGAATTACGAGGAAGAGTGGTGGTGAGGGATGCTTCAGTTCATTTTATGAAAATGGCAGCATCCTCTTGCTTTTACGAAGGACTCTGGCTTTTGTGCCTGACTTGAGGACCAGGGCTCCCTGCCTGTGCCTGGATCCAGCCCTCTGGGGGGGCTCTGCCTCTCCGGCTGGGAAGGCTGATGCTACCTCGAACCTGCCAGGGGCTGTGCCCTGGGGCATGGGAGAGGGGACGCCTGGCGGGCTGGTCCCCAGACCAGTGGTTCTCAGAGGGCACAGCCTCGCCCGGGACACACTGGGCACCAGACCAGGCTGTCCAGTGCCCTGGCCTCGGGAAGGGCATGCGGCCCGCAGCCCAGGAGCCAAGCCTGCCCTGGACACCCACAGCTCAGACTCCGGGCGTCACCGCTGCTCCCCTGTCCACGCTGCCCTCAGGTCACAGCTCCGCTCTCCAGGCAGCCTCCGCCTGTCCCCTTGTGATCCATTTCAGGGGTGACTTGGGAGGAAGAGGAGGTGAGCACGTTGACCACCTTCTGCCATCAGGAGATGAATCTTTGTTGTTGTTGTTCAGTTGCTAAGTCTTGTCTGACTCTTTGCGACCCCACGGACTACAGCACGCCAGGCTTTCCTGTCCTTCATCTTCTCCCAGAGCTTGCTCAAACTCATGTCTTTTGAGTCGGTGATGCTATCCAACCATCTCGTCCTCTGTCGCCCCCTTCTCCTCCTGCCCTCAATCGTTCCCAGCATCAGGGTCTTTTCCAGTGAGTTAGTTTTTTGCATTAGGTGGCCAAAGGTATTGAAGTTTCAGCATCGGTCCTTCCAATGAATATTCAGGGTTGATGTCCTTTAGGATTAACTGTTTTGATTTCCTTGCAGTCCAAGGGACTCTCAAGAGCCTTCTCCAACACCACAGTTCAAAAGCATCAATTCTTCAGCGCTCAGCCGACTTTATGGTCCAACTCTCTCATCCGTACATGACTGCTGGAAAGACCATAGCT